CCATATATATATACTATATATATATATACACACTGTATATACTGATACTGTATATATATATATACCATGATACGATTATATATATATATATACACATATATGTTTCAAAATATGCACAACAAAGACACCTTCAGACAGCTTCACACCACAGCCCCATGCCCGGTAGGCCGGTCGACCTTCCTGGGTGTCCAAAGTGTATCTGAGCGTTTTATGGGACCCTGGAAGTTGCTCCAAGGATAGAGAAAAAGGTGAGATATAGAGGTTTCCTGAAATGGGGGTACCCCTAGTTATCATCCATTTTAGATTGGGATTTTCCATGAAATAAACCATCCAGCGATAAAGGGGTAGCCCGCATTTTAGGAAACCCCCATATAATGGAGATAATTTATCCCAATAAGGTGTTTTATAGGGATATCACGTGGAAGAATGAATGGAATATATTGGAATAGAATGCAGATATAACACGCTATAACTGGATTGATGGGATGTACTGGGATATAATTCGATATAGTAAGATAGTTGTTCCGGGGGTTGTCAAGGAAAATCAGGGGATGCCTCAAGTTCTGGCAATATGTATGGTAAGAATGATGATGACTTATGGGACGTAACGGCAACCTATTTTGGGACAGACCCAACACGATGTGTCACCAACAAAAAAGCAAAAGGGTACAATGGGGATATTGAATGGGGATAAAATGATAGACTGGGCATGTTGAACGGGGATAGGATGACAGGCTGAGCTGGGATGATCCTGCGGTTTAAATTTGTCAAGAATCAGCAGATCGAAGAGTAAACCATGGTTTTCAAGGGATGAATTATTCAATCTTAGGGGAATGGACTGGTGAAATTGTTCTTTGTAGTATCGGAATGCTGTCCCAAATCAGCCATCGTACCATAACCCCCCCTAACTGGGATATAATATGTACTATGTACACATGTGTGCGTGTGAATTCAGCATACGGTATTACATACAGCGTATATTTCCTCATATATATATATATACATATGTGCATGTAATATACTGCATATATAATTCAATATGATGCAATATATATATATAAGCATGACAATGTACCCCAGCTATAAACCATTCTCAAACTTCAGAAATGATCCCTCAGTCCAAGATACTAAAGTCAAGAATCAGCCGTGCCCCTATTTTGTCAAGTAATTCTACTGCCAAACTGCCAAACACCTCGTTTTGCCCGAGTCACTCTCAAAACACTGGAGATTACAGGTCATTCTGGCATTCCTGGAAAGCTCAGGTAGGGGACTTGCGTGTCATTCAAGTCATCCTGAACCCTAAGGTCCTAAGGCCCTGACAACCTAAATCCATCTAAATCCGAACCCCTAAAAACCATTGAAAAAGGCAAAATGTTCCAATCAATGGTTCCTTGAAACAAACTAAGCCTTGATGGAAAAGGCTTTCCTCTTCTGCGCCCGAGGTCACGTGGAAGTCAAGAGTCCCCAACGCGGACGGTGGCCGTTTCTGCCACGGAGAAACATGAATATTTCGAGGCGACGCACCACCATGGGGTCATATCGGGTTCCAAAAGTGCGAGAAAGGATGGAACCAATCAATTTGGAACCAAAAAGTCGAGACAAATAGATATCCCTCAAATACAAATATATGTATGTATATGCACATGTATATGGGCTTGAATGGAAATTTACAGAAGTGAAAAGTAGTCTACGTACTATCTCCTTGTTTGAAAATTGAACTCAGACTTGGAAAACGATAATAGACAGAAAACTATAACGTTTTGCAACATTCAAAACCTCTAAAACGATACTGCACTCTCCAGAAAATTAAGGACCTGTGGCCACACAATAGATATGGGTCGTCCCCCCATTATCATCAATATTGTTCCAGAGTTGGTTGTTTCTGAAACACCAACCGTTTGGCATCAACCATTTCAACATCATGATGGGTTAAAAGCTATAGTACCATGCATGATGCTTAAAACCATATTTGGTGGGGATGAGCATCCATTTACCAGCTATGCTGATGTTCGTTTCCCAGCCATTACCATCCCCCTAACATAGACCCAGCCAAATAGCGGGTTGAAAGACTACTTTCATCTGCCCTCTGGTTATTTAACAGTTTGCTATGGTAAATTGCCTATTTGATCCTATTTGGTGATTTATGTTAGTTTACCGATGAACAATTTAGTGATGTTCCATAGCTGCGTTCGTGTCTGGGTGGTGATCTTCACCAGGGTCCCAGATGCAGGTCTTGGGCGTGCCACTGACGCCTGACTTTTCGGCTGTGGGGCTAGCCTACTTCGCACAGGCGAAGGTTTTCTTGTCTCCCAGTAAGCTGGTCCATGGTGAAACCAGAACCACCATGAATGGAAGAAACTAGTAGATGGATGGGTGGATCAATAGATAGATAGATAGATAGATAGAAATTAACACATAAATAATTACATAGATGTATATAGATCTGGATGTCGCTATAGGTCAGATGAGATATAGACTTGATGCAGTATATATATATATACATATTATAGGTGTATTGGAAGAAACTAGATAAATTGAGATTTAGGTTGGACTCGATAGGTAAAGCGTGATAAAGATTCTCGGGTACACGGACATTTGCGTGCATATTATGAAGGGCATGCTCGCTCTTCTTTTAGCATCTTTTGGCCAGGTCGCATTATGAAAAGGGTCGTTCGCTGCCCCAAAGTCCTCTGAAAACTGCAGTCCAGGACAAGAAGCACCACCATCTGAATTTGAATATTTACCCCCTGAAATCCCCCTTAAGCTGGTATGACCATTTGATACCATTTGTATCCATTTGTACCTTCCGCAGATTTCACCTCTAGCGCTAGCCCGGCAGGGTGCTTTGGCACTGGCCGCTTTGGCAAAGCCTTTCTATGTGAAGGAGATTCGCGTCAGCAATCACTTGAGGATTTGCTATTTTCCTTGAAATTCCATTACATTGGCCAGAAATCCAACAAGAAAATAATGTTCTGCCAATTTGTGGAGTTCCATGGTAGTTTTCCCGGATATCGCCCGGCGGGTACAGGACACCCTTGGTCTTTCGCCCGCTGATGCCACCGTTTTTCTGTCCTTGACGTGTGCGTCCAAGGCTACATGGTGTCTGTGATTTTTGTATATCACTAAATTATAAGGTATCGGCATCATGTATACAAATATATACATATATATATAGATATAGACACACATAATTATATATATATACAATTATGTTCTATTTAGATATACAATTATGTATGCTCAATTTGGATATGACGGCACGGCTGCAGCTGTAAATTAAGTATGTTCACATCAGCACCCGCATAAGTGTGTCAATGCCCAGGTACTGGCCATGGATCATGAAACCACTCTGGGGCTTCATCGTTTTTTGGCGGAAGGGAAGAGCAGGGTCTGGGAGTCATAGAAGATTGGTAGCAAGCTTTGGGACGATGGGTAGGATGCACGTTTTTTGAGCACGAGTACATGGTAATGTCGAATATATGGTAATATAATATAATATAATGTAATGTAATGTAATGTAGTGTAGTGTAGTGTAGTGTAGTGCAGTATAATGTAATGTAATGTAATGTAATGTAATGTAGTAAAATACAATGTAATATAATATAATATAATATAATATAATGTAATGATATAATATAATACAATACAATATAATATAATACAATATGATATAATATATATTATATAATTTACATACATTTGCATATACATATACACATACACACACACATACATACATACATACATACGTACATACATACATACATACATAGATACATACATACATACATACACACACATACATACATACATACATACATTCATACATACATACATACATATGTCGTAATTGTATGATTGGGAGAAATCAGCACAAAATGGGCACATGGACGTGTATTCCGTGTGGAGCTAAGGCTCCGATGCAAACAGAGGACGTTGCTTCCGCTAGTTACATAGCCATATCTACATGTATTAGTCGACCTAAACGCAATGGTATTAGTTAAATATGGTAATTATTTTAGCTGTAGATAATGTTGTATTGTGGTATACAATATGTCAGAGTGTTATATATATATATATATATCTTATTGTCATGTAATGATATACAATGGTATGTTTCGTTTTTGTTTAATGTTTTATCACTTATCACAAATGTATATATATATATACATATATATACATATATTGATTATTTATTTATTTATTTACATATACATGGTTTATGTTCTTTGTGTAATGTTATATCATGTCATGTCATGTATATGCTGTATATATATATATATAATTATATATTATATAACTTGTATTGCTTCAATTTGAACTACCAATCCGCGAAGCGGTTCCGAGTCCCGCCGTGGCGGGTTTGTGATCGAGGCCGATTCTATTCCAATTTTCGGATCGTCAGAGCCTGAGAACGTAGTTACCTATGGATTAATGGGGATGAATCCGATTGAAGTACAGTAAGATTCAATGGATTTCGTTGTTTTGTTGGAAATCTTGACCGGAAACCATGGTTTTTGCCAAATAAAAAGGGGCATGCAGATGATGCTGTGTTTGGTATGTATGGGTAGTTCATTTTTAATTGTTTAAAGTCCGAGGATCAATCCAGTGACTAATGGAACGACCATTTTTATTCTACTGGGTTCACAACGGGTTGGATTTTTTATAGGAACCATGGAACCATCATGGACCCCAAAAACCCAAAAACAATGCTATGAAAGATGAGTTTACTAGGTCTTATGACGATTTGACGGTATTTTCTTGAGAAATTCCATGTGAAAAAATGTTGGGAAATTGAGCGAAATTCCAAGTTTGATCAGGGTTGGGGACATGCGAAGTCGGGGAGTTGGGTTCATGGCATCAGCATACTGTTTCGTGATCCCAGCACTGTGAATATTGATGCGGGGCCGCCATATTCGGGCATTCCGAAACTAGGATGTTGGGAAACTTGTCGAGTCCAGTTTCCAGCCGTGTTCACGAAGCTTCTTTCAGCGGCGATCATGAGGCGCAGACAAGCCTACTTGGTGCTTTCTGGCGTTGTCAGCGTCATTGGTTGGCTTGGCCTAGCGGGTTGGTGGCCCGTCCAGGCTACAAAGGAGGCGATGGATGGATGGATGGATGGATGGATGGATGGATGGATGGCTTATTGAGTTGTCGGTCAAACTCGTTCGTTTGGCCAAAATGCAATAGCGTCTTGTGAAACTATGTACCCTCTGGTAATTTAACATAGCCATGGAAAATCACAATTTTTAATAGGTAAACCATCTATAAATGGGCCATTTTCCATGGCTATGTTAAATAACCAGAGGGTACATTTCTTATCAATATGCAATATGTACCATCCTATCATGGTTCAGCAAGTTTCATGGTACAAGTTTAGCCCCGGTACTGTATGATCTTGATCAGCAATCTAGGTCACCTTACGGTGATTACAATCTTGGGATCTTGGCGACCAGATCTGGGGATGTCAACTAGCCTCAGCCTCAAAGAACCAGTGATTTGTTCACCTTTTTCATTGCACGTTTGACCGAAACCAAGGTGGGATTACTACGCAGTCAACCCCAAGTTGTTTTGACGTTGACAGTTTTTTGCATTTGCCTTCCAACATCCTTTTGGGATTAAGGATTATGGAGTGGTATGGGGTGCAATCCCTTCCCCTAATATTTGGGAATTTACACATATTTGGGACCAAACAATGGGGGTGTTTAATATGATCAAGGGATGGGGTGTGAACAACACTGTCTCCTACCTAGGAGTGTCAAGGCCCGCGGTGCTTCCTCGACAGTTGGCTCAAGCTGCGGGTCGCTGTGAAGATGCCACCGAACCGGGCCCCAAAGGCAGAGGGTTGGTGGTTGAGGTCAGCGATGGGACCTTCCCAAATGGAGGTTTCCATAGTCATGGGGGTACCCCAATAGCTGGACGGCTTATAATGGAAAATCCTTATAAAAATGGATGATTTTGAGAAACACCCACATATCGACAGTGCACCCTTTGAACGTTATTAAGTTATGTCATAATTGTCATACCTGTGCAATCCTGTGCACATACAAGATCTTCCTTCAAAAGACAACCCCCCAAAAAAAAGAAATGACATACATAATTTTGCTACAAACGTGTGGTAAGCAATGGGACCTTCCCAAATTTGTTGATGTCCTTTTCATGAACCTTGAGTTTCCGAGATTGCTCACATGGAACCCAAAAATCGTTATTTTCAGCAGGAAAATAATTTTCCAGATATTTCCAGAGCAAAAAGTACTGGGTTCGGTCAAGGTAATGGCGGTCGAAGTACACACAATCAACATCAATCAACACTCATAATATTACAGTAGCTTATAAAACTGGTTTCTTTTCCATCCCTGAAAAGGGTATTCTGGTCCCAAGCGCTGTGTTTAAGGTCGGGTGAGACCGCTTAACACTTGAATAGGCATATCAAGCTTTGTCGTTTTTTCATCCACTGAGAAACTGTTCCGTCTTGATTGATGAAGTCCCCATTTTTTCCAAGAAAGGATTGATTCATATCGCTATCAGCTGTACCATGGAGCCCCTTGCTACACGAATTGTGAGAGTAGGGAGGTGATAGCCACGGATTGCAGGCCATGGCTCCAAAGAAGAGGTCCCGTCGCGTCGCGTTGTTGGGTTCCAGCCTCCTTGGCTGGTGATTTTTTGGGTGTTGTGGTCGGTTCATAGGTTATGATAACTGACTCTTTTTGGCTTGAAAAAAGGTGGGAAGATTATCCCCTGCAGTTGACTCTATCGTGGGGTACTCGTGTCTAAGACGTTTCGTATGCTTTCAAATTGGGACTATTCCATCTGAACTTCTCGTAGTGTTGTATGTTTGTTGCCTGGTTCCATATGCTCACCCTTGCCACAATTGAGCCCTGGTTGCATGGAAGGGCAACCAGTCTCCAACAAAGATGGTTAGGTTGGCCTTTCCATATGGCTATCAATCTGTCAAAACCACTGCTGAACACCAAAGTAGCTGGGATTTATGGATGTTTATCCCACCAGAGAGGATAGGTGTGGACTCATCCCCATATCAGCAATTCTAGGACCAGCATGCCACGAATGATTTGATGAGTTTTCTGCACAGGCCAGCTTCACGAACGCCAACAGCAGCAAAGAGAAAAAAGGACCCAGCTCTTTCACAGAAAGGGGATGCGTGGGCTTCTAAAACGTCCAAACGGGAATATTCTTGAGAATCTCGGCCATTGTAAGTTTGTAATGTGGTAAACTGTGATAAACCCAGCTATAAAATATCCCCAATCTGAGCATAAATGCGTGGTGAAAATATGTGAAAACCATCAAGCCAATCCCAAATGGTAGGAAATTATTATTAATGGCTTACAACATTAAGTGGGCAAGCAACTCACTTCGATTGGTTTTGTGCGAATTCAGAAATGCATAGGGAAACTGCTGTCTCACCAACCTTTATCGGAAGTCCTCTGAAACCTTGAGATATCCTCTCAGACTCAAACAGAAGCCAAATCTATGGCAAGGAATTCCCTCAAGCCATAGATTCAAGGTTGAGCCATGTATCGAGATAGGGTACGATGATCCGAACGGATGAATGATCTCCCCTTGGCGCAGGATGTGGATCAGGGCGCCAGCGGTTTGGCGTACATGAGCAGCTCCCTGATGCATTTCTTCGGCCAGAACTATTGGCTTGAAAGTGGAGCTTCAAGTGATGCGCAATGATGTCCAATGGGTATGTTCGTCGTCATGAGTTTGACCCTAAAGGCAGTCTTCTTTACCATCGTAGATCTGACTAACGTCATCCAGGAACAAGAGACTTGGGTACGAATTTCCTCTGCAAATGGAGGAGAATCTCCACCAACATCATCATGAGGATCTGCAAATGGTGGTTTCACTTTTGAATACTTTGGGAAGATGATTTTCCCACTGTGACTCCAACCTGTTTCAGCCATCAGCCCGCTCTGGGGGATCTCATGGGATCTCTCCCCAGGCTTTGAGAATGCGGTTCTGGCAGAATACGTTTGGTTGGATGCCAAGCAGGTTCCCAGGTGCACCAGGGTAGGTTGTTGGTTTGACCGCCGTAAACGGTAACTGTAACTTGCGGGCGGTGCATGTGGTGATGATGTGATGGGATACGTAGTCCATTTCAAAAAAAAAAGGACAGAACGGAAATGCCAAGCTCGTGAGTTTCTGCAAATTCTACACGTTGAAAATCCCCGTGGGGGTAGATTCTGCCCGGGCGCAACCATTTCAGGATTGCACGTGACATGCCTATGGACATGCTCACACTACATGCAGAGTTGGTCCCTTACTGTTCAATCGAACCATGTTTTTTGGATGGAGGCAATGAACATCCAGCTATCCCAGCTATATTGATGTGAGGGTCCTAAACTCGGGAACCCCAAAATCCTATGGCTTACCATCATCTGCCCAATGAAAGTTTGGAGGTATACCATGATAAACCCATGTATAACACATTTTGTAGGAAACCCGCACGTGAATCACAGTCGCAGCACAGGTCGAAGACCATGACGATGACCACTTTGCCGAAATCTGTGGAAGGCACGACGGAAGGAGATGGAACATGGTGCTTAGTTTGTCAAAAAATGGAGGATTTGGCCTGCAAATATGGGGAGATGAGATAAATTAAGATTATATATTACATTACATTACCAAATAATTACTGTTTACCTAACACATACCTTATAAAATCTGCTTTGTACCGAACATATTACGCTTGCATGCCTAAAGACCCATATACCATCATATACCTATATTTACCTCCATATATATAATTATATATATACACACATGTATATTATACCTACATTATGTACCTAGATACATACATGATATATGAACAATATGAGATACATATATATATATACACACCTATACTTGATACGTGAAATATGATTTATGATATATGATATGTGATATATGATATATGATTTGAATTGATATGATATGATATGATATATATTTTATGATATGATATATATATATGAAATATATATATATATATGTGAAATATATATATACAGTATATATATATATTAATTTATGTGATATATACATACACCTATAATACTTCTGCTTATAACATATATATGCTCACACCCCTTCCCATGATCTACCCAACACATGCCTCCATTGCAATAAAAAGGAGACCCAAGATACATGTGAGCTTTACCACAAGCCTTAGAGAAACAGGTATATATATATATATACATTATATATACAACTATATATACAAATATTTCTTATAATCATATACACAATTATAATGTATATCTATCTATACACGCCGACCCCGTGGTTTGCCCACAAAAAGAATAGTGTAAAAACAAATGAATTTTCAACGAGCAAACAAAAGAGATGAAATTGCGCTGACGAAGTTGAGCATGGCATGGCGGCTAGCAAGAGAACTGTCATTTGGGGCTTGCATAAGACATAAAATCTTCCACCCCCATCGAACTATTGACCACATCGCAATGAGAGTTTCATTCAGGGCTTACAGACAAGATATAAAACCTCCCACCCCCGAACACTGAACCATACCGCAATTGGGGTTTCATTTTGGGGGGTTCCAGATTTAAAAACTAAAAGCATCCCCATAGAAGAATTAACCAAGCCGGATTCATCATCCTCATTATGATCAAAGATCAAAGCCATTTCCAGTTCCGGGCAAACCATAGGGTCTTGCCACGCGCGCACACACACACACGCAATATATATATATATATGCGTGTGTGTGTGTGTGTATACATACCTATATATTAATATGTATTCCTATATACACCAATACTATACAGTCCTATATGTAAGTGTATATGATTACATATATATATATATGTATATATATATATATGTATACCTGTATATACCTAGATACCTAAAGACCTATACACCTACCTATATACTTACCTGTGTATATACATAGGTATACGCGCACTAATATGTATATTATATATATATATGTGTGCGTGTGTGCACCAATCCCTCAAAATCCCCCTCCAACCCCAATGGTCAACCCCCCTCCCCCTGTGGTGCGCCTGTGGCGGGGGGAGCGTGGGGGGGTGTGGGGGGGGCAATAGTTATGTAGAGTGCCGGTCAAAAGATATTATATAGGTAGAATATAGCATTGTGAGTCATATATAAATATATGTGTGTGTGTGTGTTTACATGTATACAAGTATATACACATAGGTATCTACATATGACATAGGTATATACATGGGTAAATACATAGAAGTGGTTTTTGAAAGGTCAAAGGCATTTGGAAGGTTTCACATAAACATGCACAGACATGTACTGCAGGTGCTTGACCATCTGCAGGCTCTTTTGCCCCAAGGAAAAAGCATCCCTGCTTGCTCCGCTTGCAATTAGCATTTGCACACATATTGGAAATCCCAGGAATCTTGGAAGCCTGGCAATGTTCTCGGGGTGTGACTTGCCTCAATTCCATATCTGAAATCCGGTCCCCTTTAGATATGTCCAAACACAGCATGGGACCCTGCTGGCCTGCTGAGAGTTATAGCTCCCATTGCATGATTTTGCAAGGGGAACATATCGGGATAATACAATCATGCGTCCCACGTCCCACGAACACAGGCCTCCGCACTTGGAATTATGATGGCAGTTCTACAGAACAGGCCGATGGTCATAACTCAGTACCTGGCCTCTTGCAGCGATGGGCGGGATGTTGAGCAGCAATTTAAAACGAGGTTGTTGACCTCGTTTGCCAGAAAAAAAAGTATTGTTTTCTTTTTGCAGAGACTCACGGTGACTAGGGAAATTGACTAAACAACTGGGAGGCCAAACAATTGGGGATGGTGATCTGGAGAATCCATTCCGACCAAGCAGCTGTCACATGACAGTCAAAACTGGCGAAGAGTTGGGAAGACATCAACGTCCTTGCCGAATACAGTGGGTGCAAAGTTGGTCCGAAATGGGTCATAATTGTTTGCAACGTTGAAAGTATCCAGTAAATCAAATTTGTGGTGGTAGACATAGTTTTCCAAGATCTCCGTATCTTGAATGTTTTTTTTTGCAGCACACCTTCCAAGTTTGGGAGTAGATTATTCAAGTAACCTAAGACCCAAATTATGCAATTATGTGGTTGTTGAGTCAATGCTGACCCAGTCTCTTGTTGTCAACTGGATGTTGCTCGGTCCCCCAATGTTACTTACACATTTTCCAGGTCGGTGTAGGGATCCACATGCCATCATGGCGACGCAAGGAAATTTATTTGTATCCCAAAGCTATCTTCAAGGCGGGGTATGGTCAGCTGTAGATGATCAGAGCCAGCACGTACAGTAAATCGGAATAAATATGGTAAAGGCGGGATGGCATCAATGATCTTTTTTACAGTGCGACTCCACCAAGTGGGCGAAGAGATGGGGGAAGATTGGTATTGCGGATCGGGCCCAGAGTGAAGTTTGGCACGCCGTGTAAAATCTGTAGAAGGTTCAAAATGTTGCGTAGCAGTAGCACATCCCCTGGGTTGCGAGTTACTTTTGTTTTGCAGATGAGGATTTTCTTGATAGTGACTGGATCAACATGGCATAAACATCCCTCACAACATCGATTCCGCTTTTCGGGAATCATTTTGGCACCAGGACACCCACATGTTGTGCTTAGCTGGCCACATCCAGGATCCCTTCCGTGGGAGTCCTCACATTTTGGTTCTGGCTGAAGCCTACAATGCATGGGACGGGCAGCCGGCCACCGGAAATACGCAGCTTGGATTTTGACGCGTATCTCTGGTGGTGAAATGAAGATGGTTTCCCCAGGATTCTCTGATTCTGTATCATTTCATCGCCATTTCCATTGGTCATATTCAAAGTTTGCAGTGGTCCTGTTGATTGATGATCTTTATGGGGCTACAGTATCCAGTACAATGGCAATTACCTGCTGGTAAAACAACATGGCTATGGAAAATCACAAATTATAAGAGGAAAATCATCTATATTAGGCTCCATTTTCCAGAGCTATGTGGGATTACCAGAGAGTATCACAATTTATGTTATTGCTTTGGAGAGCGTCCGATGTTTGGAGCAGGAGGCTCTGAAAAATGACCACTGTCGGCAGGTGAAGCCCCAATTGCCTTGGATTTGCTGCGAATAGTGTCTGTTGATGTCTGTTTTGTACGGCCTCCTGCGTGCAACTCCAAGTTTTATGGCATGACATGGTTTCAGCATGTTTTAGCTGTTGACTTCCAGGGTCATGAAATCATATGATATCTGTCTGATATCCAGATATTTGGTCCAATTGTGGGCACCACCCTCACAAACTTGAAATGCTTGGAGGGGTACGTTTGGCAAGGTCCTCACTTTGGAACGCGCTTTAACGCATCGCTTTGGAACGCGCCTGATCATCATGATCATCATCACCATCAACAACCACATTTATTTGACATCATCATCATCATCATCACCATCACCATCACCATCACCATCATCATCATCATCATCATCATCATCATGAACTACCAGGAAGCTGGGAGGAGTTCAGGCTTTTGCTGTTCTGCCTCCTTGTGGATTTCTTGGGGTTGGCTTGATTCTCTCCTTTGTCCGTTGTCTTGTCTTGCCGTGCTGCTTGCCCGGGTTTCCTTCCTCGCTCTCCATTGTGCTGGGGCCTCGCGCGCTGTCCTTTTCTGACCGTGACAGTGGAAGTGATGATGTAAGTAGAATGTTCCCCCCCAAATAAACCCTAAATGGCTGGTTGTCAAACCCCCCTCCCGCCCCAAACAAACCTTAAATGGTAAGGTAGTTAAGCATAGTGAATTCCAAGGTCAGAGAGTAGTAAGAGCCATGACAGTGGAAGTGATGATGTAGGGACTAAATCTCTCATTGGTATCGCTGTTTGGTAGAGGCATCGCTTTGGAAGAAGGTGCGAGCCTTCCAAAGTGCTGCGCCTGTCAGTAAATCTGATGTCTTGTTTGTTGGCTGTGGTCTGAAGTGATGTAGGACCTGTAGGATTTTAAATGTGTTAAAGCTATCCAAAAATGGCTGTGTTCCAAAGTGATGTTTTTCACTGTGTTTCGATGCGATCCTTTTACCGTACGGGTCATTGAACAGGCGATGATAAATTTGCATAAACCTGGTCTATACAATAAATCTCCCTTGATGATGTTTGGTTTGCTGGGCATCCCCGGGCACCGGCGCAGCTGTGTAGCTGCAGAGTAGCTCATAGCTGTCATAGGGACATCGCTAAAACGAGACTGTCGCAATGGGTTCTGGATGCTGACTTGCCGCGCGAGCAGCTTTTTACATCGTTTTACTACATATTTGCCACTTGGGGTGCAAGATCTGTTTGCAGCCGTCTCACCCCCTATGAAGATGTGCAACCTGTGTTTGATGGGCAAAGTCTGCTTCGCCTTGACCATGAGTATAGTCATGTGCAGCAATCGCCATACGCGCGTGTCTGAAAATGAAGTGTGTATATATATATATACACAGGGTATATCAGTATATTGGTATACCCTTAAGATATCTTAAAATTGCAAGCTTCATTGAAAACATGATTAATAAACAGTGGATTTGGGGGTATTATATTTTCAGACACATCCATATATGGTCTGTTGTTTATTGTATTGGGCTGTTTGTTTCAGCCACTGTTCGATTCATCAACTTGACCAGCTTGTGCTTCTTTTTAGAAGCTTCGCTTCCACTTGTGAAATCATGGTATTGTATGTAGTTCCTGGTGAAATTCTGCTGCTTATTTCACCATTTATTTCGGTGTGAAATTCCACATTGGTTCCCTCATGCCGTTTAAGGCGCGCAGAATGTGCCAAGATCATGGAGAAGTGCGCCATGGTCACCACCCGAAGTTTCCATTTCAAGCGAAACGGGTACGTCACGTCATAGTAGGATCATATATAGAATGGCGATGTCTTTGCAGATATACCCTGAAAAAATATGAAAAAATTATACCAGCACTGGAGTCATAACTGGGAAAGCCCAAATTGTTGGACAGTTCGACGGGGTTTTCAGCACCCTGAATTGGAATAAGGTAACCAACAAAGACAGGGTTTGTTCACCAAGGATGCCTCACATGCCTGCATATCTCCTTTCCAGCCTCATTCCTTTTGGCCACTCAGCGACTGAAACCTTTCTGGAACCAATTTGCTTTGTGGATCTTCATTGGGTACCGGTTGGTGATTTGCTGTTTGAGTTGACGTTGTCACATCCCTTGAACGGTTCCAAATATAATGTATGAGGTACAGATATTTAGATATAAAGATACATACATACATGCACATATATATATAGAGATAGAGAGAGAGACATAGATATATGATAGAATCCGCCCGCACCGAAGGTGCCGAGGCGTGATAGTTTAGGAGCGGAGCCGATCGATTCGAACAATCCTCTGTTCTCTGGTAGAGCTTCAGCTTGGAGGTGGCATTTGCAGGATCGACCCCCCGCCAAAAAGAGGCTCCCCGCTGTGGTAATTTGCACATTCTACATATCGGCACAACATCGTCCAAATTCACCGTTTCGATCCAACATATCCGCAACATGAGTGCAATTTGGGATCAACTTTGGCTAACAGACCCACTTGGCTCCAATTGGGTCCAATATGCCGCAACTTGGCCCCAAGTTGGAAGCAACTTCGGCCCAAGTTGAGCTCCACACGGGGCCAAATACGAATTGTTAAAACACGCGTTTTCACACGTTTTCTGGGGGCATCGATGATGCTTCGATCCCAGTCTGCTGCCACAAGCCCTCTGTCCTACTCACTGGGCGTGGGCGGCGCTCGCCGCGAAGCGACTCGAATTCTATACAGAGAAGTATTTAGGTATATTGATATACAGATATCAATATATCAAGATATCAATATATGAATATCACAATATTTCAATAGATACTTAAATAAATAGGTAGATAGATAGATATAGAGCTAGAGATAGAGATAGAGATATAGATTTATTTATTTATTTGTCTATTCATTTATTTCTTGTTTTAATATTTGTATATATGTTTGTACCCGTTACTAAAACATGTTCTCTGGGGGGTGCACAAATATAATATAATATATAATATATAATATATAAAATATAATATATAATATATAATATATAACATATATATATATTATATAATATAATGTATATATAATATATATAATATAATATATATATATAATATATATAATATATATAATATAATATATATATATATAATATATAATATATATATTATATAATATAATATATATAATATATATATATAATGTATAATATATAATATATAATATATAATATATAATATATAATATATATAATATAATATATATATAATATATAATATATAATATATAATATATAATATATAATATATAATATATAGTATATAATATATAATATATAATATGTAATATATAATATATAATATATAATATATAATATATAATATATAATATATAATATAATGTATATATATAATATATAATATAATGTATATATATAATATATATAATATAATATAATATAATATACTATAATATAATATAATATAATAGAATATAATATAATATTATATAATATATATAATATACAATCTATAATATATTATATATATAACACAATATATATAATATATAATAATATAATATAATATAATATAATATAATATAATATAATATATATATATAGTTATAGCGGTGGTCGCGGGACCAAAAAATCGTGGATGCACTCGGAGCCGTCAGGTACGCTGATATGGATCCTTGGTTTGGCATCGAGCAGGAATACACACTGATGAGGCCTGTTAGGGAGGTGGATGCACTGCCCATTCACAACCAGTTCGTGATTTCAGGTAATGTATTCTCCATCTTCTCTACCTGGCCAGGGCCATTTCTTAATCTCATTTTGCGGGTTCACCATCGTAAGAAAATGTACCAGCAGTTTTGGGGATTCTGGCAGTCATCATCTGACTTGGAGTATCTTCATTCTGTTTTTGAAGTGATGATATGCTGAAACCGAAAGATGGCTTAAAAACCCGGGCGAATTCCACGTTCCGATACGTTCCGTTGATGCGGAGCCACCGCGCAGGCCAGGGAAGGTTGGTGAAGAGCCAACGGTGCCTCTGGGTTTCTTGGTGCCACGGTAGATGGTCCACCAACGGGTACAACCAAGATGGATTAATGTGGTAAACCCAATAATGGTCATCTTTAAGTGGTAAACATACTGGGATATTGACCATCAGTACGATTTATAATGGGATATTGTCAAGAACGGATTGCTGACTAAAATGCTTAGATATCCCCGGGGTTCGATTTTTAGACCATCCATATGTGATAAACCATCCAAATAACTGTGGTAATTGCAGTGAATGGATACGACCATGGATGGGTGGTAGAAATTATCCACAAATGGTAGGTTTATTAATTATTATCGGGTTTACCACATTCTTCATGCAGAAGGTATAATAGACGATATCGACGACATCTCTCATCCTGCCAGGGGCTGGTTGGCTGGATGGACTTGATGAAATCCAGCCAGTGGGTAGTGGATGATGTGTTTTTGTGTGCCCAGCATTGCATGGCCGAAATTGCCAGTTGCGCATCCCAAAATGGGTTCTCCAATGCAAATTATGAAAGTTGCTGATATCTTCAATAAGGGACCCGAAAATGAATAGATTCAATACGAAACCTGCGTTTCCAGGGGGGTATATTGGGAGGAAGATTAATCCAAAGGGATTACTTCCCATGTCAGATCACCACACCCGACTTCGGCTCACTGTGGTGTCCCTTAAGGTTTCAATGGTGATGGCTCGGAACCCGCACCGCAAGGGCCCTACTACACCGGCGCAGGCATGGGTGAAGATGATACTGTGCCCACAAACGTCAAAATTTTAGTTGGGCAATGTGGTGAACATTGGTGAACCAAATGCCATGAACTTTCCTCCCATTGCTGTGTTTTTATGTTGGGAATGTGTTGTGAGGTGGGGTTTACCATGGTTCACCACATTACGACACGCTGATGGGATGATGTTTGGGATGCCTTTGCTCTTGGCTCTCGGCTCACAGTGTAGAGGGTCTGGTGATGTGTATTGAGATCCCAGAGTTAAAATTTAGGCCGTAGAAAAAAGAAAAAAGTCATGCTCAGAAGTAACCCCTCCAAGTTTGGGATACCCGATTTTGGCCCAGACTCACATAGCGATGGACACAGTCAATTTGTTCTGTGCTGTCCATGGGTGTGGCAGCGTTTCGCTCCGTGCAGCCGGTACACCAGCATCGGTGTACCATCGCTATGTGGCAAACGGAGCCACGAGATGGCCAATGGACATATTATGACAAACTATGTGGTAGGTTTCGCAGGTCCTGTGCTTGACCTCCATGCTGAAAGATGTGGCAAGAGGATCCTACCAAATCCTGAACCCCAGAAGGCACCATTGCGGACAAGTATTCGGTGTGACACAACGGAGGTTAGCTCGAGACACGTTTGATGCCTGTGTGGCGCAAACACGCTGACAAATGACAAAGACAATACCTCAAGCTTCGAAATTGCGGCGTTTCTTGGTGGCAGAAAGCTCTGTGCCAACCCCGTTGCGATCAGTGTATGTTTTCCACAATGGAGACCTCAACCAAATATGAAGGCTATAAGGCGCACCGGTTCTATCCATTTCTGATGAAGCGAAATTTGCTGTCCTGAGCGGGCCATGTGCCAGAGAATTTGTTGATTGAAAATAGTAGTGGCCAAGGACATACACAAGACTTTCCGATTGTGTACACCTTGGTAGCACTTTTTGGGTTCACACATCATTTCGGATATATGTTGAATTGAAACATGGTGAAACATCAGATTTCTGATACTGAGACTCAGATATTGTTTGGTAACCACGGTGGACTCAAGTGAACATATCAACCACCAAAGGAGCATCATCCCTATGAGGGGCACGGAAGCACCAACCCCCTAATCAGGAGTTGCCGAAATCCCCCATGATGGTTGTTTCTAGGGTTGTATAAGCCAACGGTATTTATGGATTTTCAATGATGTGATACAACTATAATGGATCTCACATGATTTTATCACGTTGGATCAATTTGTACGGTGTTCTTTTTAGGATGAACCAACCGATAAAAGTGCAATCTCCATCAATCTCCATGTTCATCACCAAATCAGTTGCCATTATGAGGTCCCAAAGAGATCCAAAAGATGATTCTATCCCATGTGTGTCCCAAATCCCAAATTGATCGGTGATAGCATGTTGTATTCCATCCCCCTTCATGCTAGTTTCCCCCCCCAAATGGTCCTAGTCATTTTTGTGTTTTCACCCCCTATTAAACCAGATGGGGGGGGAATGGGATTCATATGGATTCATATGGATTCATCACTTCCCAAAGATTGCCAAAAGACTCTGAGGTTTCAATCTTCAGCTGAAGGAGCTGGCTCATGCTCTGCAATGGCCAGAAGCTGTCAGCCTTCTCCAAGATGAGGCTCAGGGATCATCCAATTTTATCCCGAAGTAGCGGACAGACCCTAAAATGAGCACAAACATATACACACTAAAGTTTAGTCACTAAAGTTTAAAGAAAACTCAGTTTGAAATTGAAGATGCACCCAGGTACCCAGGTGACTTGACACACTTGCAGGTGACTCTGCCTCGGGATGTGGTGAGTTTTACCACTGTCCTACGTGGATGCGACCGCGCGTCAGTCAGCTGGCAGCCAGGGAATCGTTAGTTGGGGTGAACCAACTGCCAAATTGTAGGCATGCGCAAATTCTTTTGTATATTGCTGTATGATTCTTTTTGGGCTTAGGTGGCTTCTTAGATGGCTTTTACCACAAATCATATGTTGAACAGGAAGATTTGAGCAGCGGATGAACAAACCACGTGACCCACTCGGGAGAGAATAGTTTTGCATCCAGGCTGTGGGTCCCCATCAACAGTCAGTTGCCGAGTGGGACGGTCGACCTACAAGATTCATCGGCCCACAGATTTGTTGGTAATCTGGCTAGCTATAGACAATGAATTCTAAAATCTGATTCATAGGGCTGGGTCACATAGACTCATAGATTACTAATAGACAATAGCTTGCCTCTGGCCCCCCATTTCTCGCGTTTTTTTTTGGGTATGCTGTTAGTTGGGTTTTGTTTGACAAAAATGTGGTAGCACCAAAATCACGTGGGTGTTGTTATCATGTTCCTATCAACCTTGCAAATTTTGAAGGCTAAAAGGCGCCGGGGCGCCCCGCCAGTTGAAAACTGGAGCAACAAAGCATTGATAGGGACACCCTTGGCTGAAGTTTTAAAAAAACCTTCAACTATGAAAGATTAAGATAGATTGAGATAGATGAAGTAGGTTGCATGGTGGTTGCAAAGGCGTGTTTAAAAAACATGTTCAACCGAAACGGGATGATGATCCAATGGCGGAACCTGCGGGAGGCCTGGCGAGAGAGTCTACAGCTCTACGAGGAGATGAGATGTTGCTCCATTCAGCCCAACACGATCACGTGCAGTGCCTTGATTTGGACATGGAGGTACCGTGCAACGTCTAGATACATTATATGTCATTACATGCATATATATATATTATCATATTAAATATACATACATACATATATATATATATACATTTATATGCAGTCTACAATACAATTGTTTACATTTTTTGTGTATATATATATATTATATTATATATACTGCTACCCGACTATTTTGGAGGGGTACTATATATTTAGATGTGGCATGTGTTTACGGGAAATTACGTGTGTGTGTGTGTGTGTATCTTACAGACGGGATTGGATCAACACGATTGAGTCATAAAGATGCAGATGGTCCTGGCTGCAAGTGATCAGAAGTACCATGAAATGCCAATGATAGTTACAGTAGCGTGCTTCTCTGGCAAGGGAAAAATTCTGACTTGATACATACGTTGCAACCTGGTTGGAGACTTCCAAAAGCAAAAATATCTAAACGGATCTCAGCCTACTGTGGCAGACATTCTTGGGCAAGGGGAATGATGTTGTTAAGCTTTATTGATCCAAGATTGTTTGGACACCAGCCTGCGAGCCATCATAATCCTCTGTCGATGGTGAGGTGAGGGCTAAACGTGGGGAGATGTCCGGCGATTTGCAGGGACATGCCCAAGATGCTAGTAGCAACTTGAGTAGTGACCCAAAAACGTCAAAACAAGAGGTATTGAAAATGCTTTTGGAACCCCAAAGATGAACATCTCTTTAGATTGCAACCTATGCCTAGGTCATCTTGTCCAATGTTGATACTTGTTGTCTCCGTGCCAACCTTTCACCAAATTTCACCAAGCATTTAAATACTCCCTTGATCTCCTTTGTGGTTTCAAATATTCTTCCTTTTCCCCAGATGCAATGATGATCCCCGACTTCTATCGATTTTTTAGGGGCTCAGCCACCAGATTTCTTCAATCCGCAGCAGGCACGTTCATTGACTCCAGCTTCCGATGGCGCGGATGGGCTGGATACTTGTGCCTCTTGCAGGAGATGCAACTGATGCGAGTGAATGCGGATCTACAATTTTTGAATGCCACTGGTGCTTCAGATTCGCGCGGTGTTTCTGGAAATGTGAACCCTCTCCCACAGAACAAGGGGTATAAAGGGTGGAGTTGGGTATTACCAGAGCATCTCATGATGAGAACCCCAACCCTAAGCAGTGCCTATCGACCATTCACTGATTGAGGATGTTTGAGGACAGGATTTCCATACGAAGTGCTGTAAGAATTATTTCACAGATGTTTAGTTTTAAAGCAAAACCTGAATCCACATGTTTGGTCTTCAAAACTGTAAGATCCCCGTGGTGGTATGGGTTGAAATATTTAAATTTTACATATCTTAGAATAGTTAAATACCCAAATAGATTGATATATATATATATACATATTTATATATAATTGTATATATATATACATAGTTATGTATGAAATTATTCATATATATATAATATTATTGTATTATATATATATATGTCTATTGTATTTCATTGATCCCATGACAAACCCCAGCAAGTGCGAGGCGAGCATGGTTGCGTGTAGCCGCGCTAGTGCCTGGCAGTTGGCCCTGGCTCTTCGAAGTGGGATGATCCTCGGGGGTTCATATGCTGCAGAAATCACATGGCATGATGGGCTTGGGAAGGCTTGGGAAGGGTTTAGGGTAACCATTGCTTAAGATGAATTGAATTATACATAATTAATCATAATCATAGAAATATACATTAGCTTGGTGATGTTTTTTCAACCCCAGTTGGAATGAGCACAAAACAGGGCTACCAGTAGTTTGAGATGTGTGATGTATGATTGATGCATTTTCTACGAGAATGCAGCCAGGTTCGTGGAGTTTGTCATTTTTTTCACTCTGTCATGTCAAACGGGTCATTGAACGCCCCAACAAAATTCAAATTCCTTCATGTCTACCCTCTGGTTATTTAACATAGCCATGGTATAGATGGTCCATAGAAATAGATGGTTTACCTAGCTATAAAATGGTGATGTTCCATGGCGAACTGTTAAATAACCAGGTGGTAGAATACTAAAAGCTGGTACCAGCTGTATTTCCCCATGCACCGAGCAACAAACGATGTGGCTGCCACGCGCGAGAAATTCGTTGAGGTCGCTTCGATGTGGATTCTTTCACCATCAGTGCTGCCATCTCGGCATGTTCACAGGCGAGGTGAGATGCCATGTGGGTTTTACATGGTTTTACTACTAGGGCTGGGTTGTATTTATCTCATGTGGACATTGAAGCTGGATCCGTGTGGAATCTGGAGAATTTTGAGAATTGGTATTTTTTAAAGCTGTGTTTCGAATCATGTTGATCATATTGCAGGAATGACCTAGAGGAAGGATTCTTTCGACCCCTGATTCTGACCCTGATCCCCATAACTCAAAGCCACATTGCTTGGGATGGATTTTAGGCGGTGAATCGCTTAATCTATAGGTGTTTAAGAATGACTCCACACTACAGTGAATTGGACATAACTTTCTGTTCGGTTCGAAGCTACACGGTTCGAAGCATTTAAAAATATTTAAAAGACTGCCAAATACCTTGGCCAAAATCAACCCAAACTTGGGTCGGGGCGTGCAGGCCGCCAGGGTTCTGTCGGTTGATAGGATTCCAGTACTAGATTGTAATAATCTCCATAAAACACCAACAACCAGCCACGAGATTTAGTCCGAATCCTCATGCTACATGGTGAAATCACCATCATTGTGGGTTAGATCATTTCTAGTTAGCATTCTTGACCTCTAAATATGTTTACAGTAAAATTGATTGCTTCAAACTCTTCAATGTTCAATCCCATCGGATGACAGTTGGCCCAAATCCAATGGTTTATCATCATTTTCCCTATGAAAAAAGTGCCATTTGGGACATGTTCACACACGCCCGCATTGTAAAAGTACATGAGAATACCCACTCCACCTTTTCCTTTTGATTAATATCATGAATATCTCAAAACAACATCTCCCCATGTCAGTGAACATTTGAAGCATCCCCATGCTCATATCCCATCATATCCCATCGACATCGCCAGGGCATCCAGTGGCCCCTGGCCCTGGCACAGCTCCAAGGGTCGCCGAACAGCGCTGTGCTGCTCACAGCGCTGAGCGCGGCATGCGCCGCGGCGGCGGTGTGGCCGAGGGCCCTGGAGCTGGCGAAAGAGGCGCTGGTGAAGGCGAAAGAAGATGCGGATGGAAGAGGTCACTAAGAAAAAGCTTTAGATTGATCACCTGAGGTTGGTCACTTTACTTTACTGTATTCCCCACCTGTCAGGTGAGGGTTGTTAGATTTTATGTCAGCTCTCCTGCCGCCTCCTTCTCCTCCGCCTCCTCTCCCGGACCTCCACTGCAAGCTCAGGATCGCATTTTCCCTGCCGGACCTCAACTGCAAGCACTAGATAGAGACAACAGAGAGAATGCCAGAAGAGAATATTAGAGAGATGCCAGAAAGAATGTCAGGATAGATGCCAGATAGAATGCCAGAGTTGATGGCAAATAGAATGCTAGATAGAATGCCAGATAGAATGTCAGAATAGGTGTCAGATAGAATGTTAGAATATATGTCAGAATATATGTCAGAATATATGCCTTGAAATGCCATGGTGGGGAGCACTCGAAGTAAAGCAATTTCTAGTTTATTTTTTCAGGAGATGAATATGTGATATGTATTGATATGTAGATTTATAGCCTTTTCTCTTAGGTGCAACTAGCCAGAGTTTCCTGCCGTCCATACATGGGATTAGTGAATGTACCAACAACCAGGAGGAACTGGGCAAAAAAACGGTGGAATTCCATGATGATAACGCCATCTAAATCTAGATCTGCAACAAGCCAAGGTTATGCAACTTCCCTTAATGACTCTACATGGAGTTATCAATATCCCAACAAACCAGAATATCAGTGTAGAAGGCTGGCTGTGAATCATTATTATTCAGTTCAAATGTGGACTTAAGAATATTTGCAGCAACAAACATTGCTTTAAAAAGGAGCACTGATGTGCAGGTGTTGGCTGAGGATGCTGTAGGGGATCTGGATCAGCAAGTCCCCGTGCCCATTCCACATATTACATCTACTGTACCTTGTACAGTGTACGATCAGACAATTGACGTACAACCAGTTAATAGACCCACTGACCAGAATTCCGAACCAGTTGTGAACCAACTAGATAAGAATATTATGTGTATGTATATATATTGTGATTTATATATATATATACATACATATATATACATATATACAATTATATACAATTATATACAATTATATACAATTATATACAATTATATACAATTATATACAAATATATACAATTATATACAATTATATACATACAAACATACAAACATACAAACATACAAACATACAAACATACATACAATGCCTTCATTCGATAAAGTCACTTCATGGGTTCCTGGCCATTCCTGGTGTTTTTCAGCAGCCTCATGGGCTGCTGAGGTATGGCTGTAGCCTGTGGTGCGGCCTTAAAGGCCTGTGAACGCGGAGCGCAGTGGCAGCTGGCTGCCGCTATCTTCCAGTGCAGTGCTCCAGCGGATCAGATCATTATTTTTGTCATATCAATGAGTCATAGCTGAATATACCATTTATTTAGCATAGCCATGGAACATCACCATTTTATAGCTAGGTAAACCATCTATTTCGATTAGGGCCATCTAATTTTCCATGGCTATGTTAGTCATAACCGTATTTGGATATACATCCATCCTGCCATCCTGTCATATCAGGTCTATCCATTGGACTGGACACCGCCAGCTGCGGAGCGGCAGTCACTGCCTGCGAAAAGGCGCAAGAGTGGCAAGTGGCCATTGCAATGCTCCAGCAATCTATCGATCCATAGCAGTCGTGGCGTTGGTCATGTTGGTCGCCGGGATGGTTGGTTAAAATATGTTAAAATATCATCTGGAAATAGAATTCAATCGTAAATGCTACATTTTTGGGGGGTAGATTTTGCAGAGCTGCAAGCAATGGGCCGCCATCGGATATGATATGATCATGGATGCCTTTTGAGCAGCACAGTGCCTGGTGAGAATGGGGACAGTATCGACAAGATGGCGAAGAGATATCAATACCTGCGTTCAATCCGGTTTGGGGTTGACTGGATTATCGGGAATGGTGGGCCCTTGGCTCGGCCGAACATCAATGTGGAATTTACTCCAACAAGCATGGTGTTTTAGCATGTTTGTTTCACAGAGGACGAAATTGTGGTGTAGCCGCAAATTGTCACAGCTTCAAACAAGCCGAAACTGTTTGGAAGGCAGATTTTGACTAGGCGACGTTCATGTCAAATTGGCTGGATGTACTCTTCGTTCTGGGTTGGTGCAATCAAGATCAAGATACATTCGCACGATCCGGAGAGAGGCGGAGAGAGGTGTGTCTTGTTGGAAGGAGTTTCTTGCATTGGGAAGCATCTCAATCTCAAACCCTCTCAGACAGGGTTTCTCTTACCCAAAAGTGGAATGTGTTGGGGTTTTCTTGCGGTCGCAGCAATTCTCTCTCAAAACATCTCAACACTATGCACAGATCTATAATAAACTGTGTGTAGTTCCCACTCCAGCCATCATAGCCCACTCAAAAGTCCACCATTTCGGATGATGGATGTTCTGTTCTTTCCTCATATTTTCCTGGGCATATTCTTATCATTTCTTATCAAAACAAACAACTTGTCACAAAGTTAACAAGCCAATCTACAGGTCCAGCATTGATGAGTCTTCAATTTCGACCCACACCACACCTGTAAGGTTCAAGATGCCACACCTACGGATACCCTTTGGTACGTTACCATGGCTCTGGAAAATGGTTTACCGGTTTACCTATTATATAAAATGTGTGATGTTCCATAGCTATCCGAAAGTACTAGAGGGTATGTTGTGATATGGTAAGATGTTTCAAGGATCTTGTCCTACTTTTTTTAAGGATTACCATCAAGTTTTCTAGATGTTTGAGGACCTGAAGCTGGAATGCAACAGCATCCTTTGCGGCAGCGTCATCAGCTCCTGTGAAAACAGCTTCAACTGGCCGATGGCGCTACACTTACTACACTGGAAGGAGCGCAGCCCTGAGATGGGTGGAAACTGGGACGGGAGTGGAAGTAGAAACCAAATAAAACCAACAATCATGGTGATATGATAAGATAACCAACAAAAGTATATATGAGATTAGGTGGATTTCGCTGCCTGTAATTGGGGTATCCCCAAAATGGATAAGGTGCCTTATTTTTGGATAAAGCTGTAAAACATGGGAAGCGTTTTAAAACTTTAACCAGCTGGGATTCAAACTAACCTTGAGTGCCCTTTTTGGGGGACAGGACGATGAAGGTCGTTGAAAACATGTCAAGATATGTCAAGTATATCAGGAGCTGGGTGATCGATCCGGCGCTGGCATCATGCCACATGCTGCGGCTATCAGCTGCTGTAGTAAGGGCAGTGCATGGGAAGCCTGGCTCGGAACCGTTCTGGCGCTGTTTTTTCAAGGATTCGGTGGGAAATGGGGATACCCCCAAGCAATCATGGCAATTGAACATCTTTTTGTAGATGTAGGTTTTAGATGGTTTTAGTGGGAAGAGCACTGAGCTGAATGGGTTGATTTTCCAACAAGCCATGGAACTGATTACCAGAGGCTGGGTCAATGCCTTGCATGCCCCGGAACTTGTGGTTTTCCCATATGGAAGAATGAACATAAAGAACCAAAGAGTCTGGGGTGTTTTACCCAGGGTTCTCCCAGGTGTTTGACCACTGCCTGGGTTTCACCACCAGGAAGTGGCCCTGAATCTCTTGGCAGACCTTTCTTGGCGCCATCCAGGTGACTGGAACTGTGGCAATCCATCCAGGTCTGTGGGTCCATAATCGTGGCCTCATTGGGATTTAATGGAACCATCCCAAAGATGGTGGTTTAATGGGATTTAATGGGATTTAATGGGATTTAATGGGTCAAATGATATCCCATATATCTTCGAATCTGTGGAATTTTCGGATCGTTCTACATCCCAAAGTTCGGTGCCTCATTTTGGGAAAGACACCACCCATTTTCACCAATTGCCCTATGACAAGAATGATTGTCCACTCATCTTATTCGGCTTCGCGGACACACCCCAAAGCCTGCATATGGGCACTGGTAGCAAAATTGAAATTCCCGGGAAAATAAAGTTCCCAGTTGTCAACCACCACAACCCTCCGGTAATCCACCCATGCCACTGGGAAATCGGAAATCCCTGAACTGAGAGGCGTTTTAATATATTTTAATATGTTTTAATCAGATAATCATCTATAAATGGTGAGTTTTCCAGCAAGCCATGTTTGATTACCAGAGGGCATGTTTCCGAGGTAAGGCCTCAACCCCTCACCGACCAGCCGTTTCACCAGGTGACGTGTGTCACGCTGCAGCCCTTGAAGCCTGTGCTGCGGGGCGGGCATGGCGCCATGCAGAAGCTTTGCTGCAACGCATTGGGCCAGCGTCTTGACTGCGAGGTCTTTGCTGGGAAAATTTCGCAGGAAACCATGGCTTCAGCTGCGAGAATCAGCTTGGTTCTGTATATAATCAAGTCAGAAATTGGTGACACATGTTGAAAGCCAGAAATGTTTGAAGAATGCCGCATTGGAACCTGTTAGTCTCGTATGGCAACGTTCAAAGGTTGCAATGTATCAACCTATACTATAGTGTCGAGTCTGGTTGCCTTCGATCTGCCGGGAACATCCTAGAATTGCTATTATGAATTTACAAGAACCCTCCAAAAAGTGACCAGATAAGCTATGGTTTATGTAGAGTTTGACTCAGTGACAACTTGGATGGAATCAGGATTTGTTTGGTGTAGAAGGAGGAAACCCTTCTATTGGAATATGTTTGATGCGGCTGCTTAGATTTTGATGTATGCAAATGTTCTGAACTATTCTTGGTTTTACGTTATATCACCTGCTTGATTTCCCCGCGTTGGACATCATAGATGTTTTTTTCCAAGCGGTTGATTGTTGCCATCCTACCTGAGATGACAATCCCCATTGAGCAACATTGGGTTCTTAAAGTATGGGCATCCCAAAGCATTGGTTTTTATGAGCAATGTTGGATAGTCTTGGGGTACCCATATTTCATGAAACCTCCAATATCTTTCAGGGGGTTGAAACCATCAACCAGATACAGTCCCCTTGGGCCCACACTATCTGAGGCTTCGCCCATCAGATCTGTCGCTACGGATCTCGCCGGAGTGGCTATGGAACGCTGTCAGGCGGACGATCCCGGGGATTTGCACATATTTGAGACCGTTGATGAGGTGTTTAGTGAAGGGGATGAGATTACTACTGATCGTAAGCTGAATTGGTTTGTGAATCAGTTTTTTTGCATTTTTTTGATGAAGTCAAAGATTCAATACTCTTGCCGCTTGCCTGTGATGAATCCTGGTTGACTCATGGCTTTGAGCCATCCCAGCCAAAAAGGGTACACAAGACGTGGCAACGTTTTGTATCACTACTATATCATTAAAATCTAGACTCCTGTTTCAACAAGCATAAGGTCTGGAGTTTGGATCTCATGTAGCAGAAGGCACCAGATAGTACATACATCATCATGTATACATATATAATTGTATATATATATATATAATATCTTATAAATAATGCTAGATATACATTAAATTTACATCTACATCCCAGCACTTTCCCCTGTCAGGTCCCTTCACCTCGTCCATTTGCGCCGCTGGGTTTGCTGGAGATGCTGGGAGACCTCCAGCCGGGGCGACGGCGACTGCCCTCACCATATCTTCCGCCCATGGCCCTCACCAGCTTCGAGCATGCCGCACGGCGCCTGATGCACTCCGGGATCCAAGGGATCTTCGTGGCACACGCGCGGCACTGCCTGCGGACAAAGAACGGCCGTTTTGAAAACAGCCGGGGAAGGAACTGGACGGATTTGGAGTGATATGTAAATCGGTAAAGCTGAATTTCTGGGATTTTTGGCTGTAAATCTCCAGGCATATGTAGAACATTGTAGAATAGCCGGCTTAGAATTGACTTTTTGGTCAGGATTCGGGATCTGAAACAAATGCGAATCAACTTGGGGTGAATCATCCCAGCTGGGGAAAGGATGGGAAAGGTGGGAAGGGGAAGCAACACTGTGAAGCAACAGCACACGCCAAAACAGGGATGAGGTGGATCAGAATGAAGAAAAAAAACACACAAACACCAATTGGTTTTGTCTGAAAATAGTGTACCCCTACACCCAATGGTTAATGATCATTATCCCTACTAAATGGCTATAATTGGGGGTATACCCCATTTTCAGACATACCCAATTCTTGGTGATAGCGACTAGTCATGATGAGTTTGGGTTTGGGTTAATGGATGGGCTCAGAAGTTCAGCGTCTTTGGTTTTTGACCAGCCAAATAAATGGTGACACTGGATGTGCCCTTGGATACCTGATCCATTGTCCAAACATGCCAACGAAGATTCATTGCGGACCAAACAACGGAATTCTTGCAGCTTGAAAAGCATTGAGGGGCTTCCAATCCATGGTCCATCTCAAAGATTCAGTCTTTGGACAAAGGCCTGAAGGCAATTCATCAAGCTTCATCCCAACTCGGGGAGTCATGAAGGAATTGTCGCTTGACCGTGGCCAGGTTTTAATGTGGCAATTGGTCGCCCTGTGGCGGATGATCACTACAAGCTCTGTTTGAAGGTCTGTGGACGGCCCAACGGATTGGAATACACCACGGAATATACTCGGGGAGAGAACCAATTACCCGGTTCTATGCGAGACTGTATGTCACAACATCTCATAATTTGTGCAGATCAGATGTGATTGTGGGACATGAATCTGAATTACCTGTGAAAGCAGGTATGATTCCGGTCACTACCCTTGCCAGTTTTCCTTGATGGGCAGAATCACCTATGTGAACCACGTCCATGTGTCGGACCGGTTGCCCCGTGCCAAGAAGTCATATGCCATCATATGCCTATCTACTCCAGGATTGTCACACAGAATGCATTCGCCTTTCATCTCAGATTTACTGGTCATGCCTCTGAAACCATCCAGCTTTGGTGGAATCATGGTGGAATCTGGTGCCTTGGATCATACAGATGGAGGAATTCTCCAAATCCCATGGTTCCATGGTTCATCAATGGCAATGATCATGGTTTGTAAAAACTTCCGCATTCAGATCATTCAGATATATTCAGATGATTTCAGATGGCAATGCTGGTTACAATCATGTGGCTCACCATGATTTTCACCTATAAAAAAACGGCTGAACTGATGAATCGAGCGACGGCTCGGTTGAGGCTGGTGTGAAGATCGCCGGGATCAATGCCGAAGTCGCTCGGCGGAATGGCGCTGAAGTCTTGGATTTCTATGGATTTCTGGTGGGTCACAGAGATTGGAGAAGCAGACAATAGATTCAATAGATGAACATAGATGAAAATAGATTGAGATAGATGAACATGCCTATCTTTTGGGGTCTTCCACTCAACTGTTTGAAAGCCTAGCTCTTTTCAATGTCTGTGTCACTCAAAATGTAAGGCTCGCAGAGCCCCGGCTGAGCTGGTTGTTTCAAATCGCCAAGAACATCGTGGAACAATGTTTGGCCCATCATGGTGCCAAGAAATCATGTTCCAAATTTCGAACACATAGATTCGTATGATTGGAGATGATGGGAGATGATTGGTATATGATCGGATTACTTCTTGGATCTTCTTGCTGGATCCCAACTAAGGGACGCTCATCTAAGAATAGATCTGAAAATGATGTTTGCAAAGCCTTTTACATCCACGCGGTTTTATGGGTTAATTCTCATGTGTTCTCATGGGGTTGTTCTAGTGAGGGATATGTCCCCAGCTCTATCTTGTCTATCTTCATGTGTCAGACGATATCATGTCAAATATATCCAATGAAAAATCCAACAAATATATACAAATATGATATGTTCGTTGGGGATTCTTAAAACCATGACCAGGTGATGCCGGGGCAGTGGGAGTTCCAGGCGCACCGGGACCGCCATGGACCGCGCTTCAGGGGTGCAGGCGGCGATGTTCATGCGACTGATGATGCGACTGTACAGTTTTTCTAAATGTCCAACATTGATACCCTCTGGTAAACTAACATAGCTATTGAAAATGGCCATTTATAGTGGATTTTCCCATATGAATGGGATATGCTATAGTGTTCTAATAATGAGCATTTATAATATGGTTAAATCTGGGTAAATTATAACGACCTCACTGCTCTCCCTCACTGGAATCATGGTTAGGATTCGGGGAATCATCCCCAAATGGCCGCAAGATTCAGGTTAGTGAAATATTATAATTTACCCAGATAAATGTCCAACATTGATATAGTTTATGATAGTTGACCATTTTTTCCAATGATGATTTACTTGTTTGTTGTTCTTTTGTGTTTGTCTTAGATCCTAAATCAGCCAAAAAACTTATGAATGATGACCTATAAAATTATAAAGGGTTTGTAAGATCCACTGTCCCAGGTTTTCCCAACTGGGATTGTAATCCGGGAAGCCCTGTGTGAGTAGTAATCATGATCAACAATTATCTTTGAAACACATAAACACAAACGAAATCTAGTGATACATCTAGCTTTACAGTGTAAATGTACAATAATGCACATCTTGTACACATTTTTCTTCCCTCTGCTAATCAAACATGTCAATCCCCGAACTAATGGAGGTTTAGTTCGTTGGGAAAATCATCGCAGTTTCCACGGAAACACTCCTGGCAGGTGGGTCCATGTCGTGGCGTGGAGATGGGAGACCACCTCACCATTGCACGTTGCTGAAACATCGGCGCTTCTAGCAGTGCTAGATGATTAGATGTATCTGCAGTTAAAGAATGTTAAAGATATATATATATACATATGTATATATACATATTCGTGTATATGCTTATATTATTATAACTTATGTTATGTTATTGTTATGTTATTGCATGATATATCTGCACGTGTATGCATATGTAAGTAAGTGAAGCCTTGGATGACGGATATCCCAGGCATGTTCCGAGGTTCCAGATGGCCCAGATGGCCCAGATAGAGATAGATCAATGCCGATGAAAAACCATGAAATACCTGTGAAATGCCAAGGAAATACGTATGAAATGTTCAGGAACAACCATGAAATGCCGCATTTGGGAACACGAACAGCCATAGATTTGAGCAATTTTGATGTGAGCAGAAGAATTCCATGAAATTTGACCCATAGCCATACTCCGCCATATCCCAGGTACAATGAGTTGGGAAGCTCAGATTAGTCCCAGTAACTTCCCATGGTCAGGTTACATCATGTTGCGTGTCACCGAGCAGCACAACTGCGTTTGTTCCTTTTCGCCCAAGCCCATGGAGGGAGATGCTCGGCGGCGATCGAAGATTTGAGGCTCAAAAGGGCCATGGGGAGGTACATAAGGATCTACATAAGGATCTACATAAGTCACTTTTTTTTGTTGAAAAAACACTATAAGATCTGGAATTGTTGCGGAGCCTAAGTTTTCAACCGCGCAAGTTTCTAAGGATTCGATCTTGCCTGTGATGCAAAGCAGTACATCTGAAAATATGATGCCTCGATGCCCCTGGTGGTTTACCGGCTCCCTTCGTTCATCTTCATAAATCGACCATTCAGTGGCATCGCTTGGAAGTAGAATTGACGGTATGAATCACAGATGTCTTTTTCTGAAATTGTGGTTCACTTGAGTTCCCCCCGGCAATTGGGATACGGAAAAATGATGAAAAATGTGAAGGGAGGCATTTCCGGGCGAACTTCTTGGATCCAATCAGTTTTTTCGCCCCAGGATTGGAACGGCGCAGGTTGCCACACCAACTTTTCGGTGAAATCCATGCGTGAGGACGGGGTCACCCTGAGAAATCTCGCAGCGCTGCGGAGCAGACACCACGCAATCACCGGATGCGCGACCTTCGTGAATTGGTCCAGATCAGGTACCTCTATAGATTAAACATGATTAAATTGGTGTTTGCAAAAATGGCCAACATCTTTATATATTCTTTCATCTGATTTTTGACCCATACGGATAATAGCATAGAAAAAGCAATATCTGTGCCACTTCCTTACGCTGTTACTGGCGGATAGAGTTTTGATCAGTTGGGTTTGTCCAATGGGCGTTACCCAAGTTTACGGCATTGTTGATAGGAAAATCATGGAAAAACTATGGTCAGAGTTCAGGGGTACCCCGATGCTTGGACAAACCCAGATCATGATCCTAACGGGTGGTTTGAAAGCTCCTGCCAACCAGAGCAAATCAGAAAGCGTTCGAAAGTGGTCCGTGAATGACAGCTACGTATCACCTGGAAAACATTGGAAGCCTTCTCACCTCCTGAAACATTGGTCGTTGATGGTCGTTGTGTTTTTTTTTTCCGGTGCCATTAGTGCCATTCGTCCCTGGCGGGAGGACGGAGGCTACGATGTAATTCTCAAAGTCTGTGAGGCCCTTGGATCTCGGCATTCCGCAACTGACAAAGTCCTGATGTTGGGATTGATGGAATCTAATGGGATGTTTGATTGGATGTTTTTCATGATTCGCAGATGGGGTATAATAGTATGATATAGTATGTATATATATAATATAATATGAACAATTAGAGTTATATACCTTCCGGTGTCATCAAACGTGACTTGCTGGGAAATCGCTGAGCAAAATGGAGGTGTTAATATGTTAGCTAGCAAAATCATCGAACTTAATGTGGAATTGGTGGAATTCTCCAGCAAGCCATGTTTTGCTCAGCAAGTCAGCGGTCATGTCAGCTGGATATAAGTTGAGACGGTGAAGCCAGCCTGGAACTGTTGGGGATGTGTGTTAAACAACAGAGAACCGACAATCTTCATCAATGGTTGCCAATAAAATGTATATCATATAGAACCAACAATTACATTAGTACCTAATATAATTGCAATATATATATATATATGTATGTGCTGTTGATAGAACATGTAAAGCCGCACCCTTTTCATCCATCACTTACCATTTGTTTATCCTCCAGCTGCACCCTGCGCAGGCCTTTGGCAAGGTTGCCGCAGAGCACATCGCAGAGTATGGCGAAGGCCTGTTGCCGTTGTAAAGATGTTCCCAAGAATTGAAGATTTAAGTAACAAAAACATACAACAACTGGGATTTTACGTCAATATCAGGAATCAAATCAACCAAAAAGGGAAGATGCTAGCCACAAATATGGGTATTCACAGTTTGGGTTAAGGACCAAACATATCCAAAAATGGAAATGATTATCATATACGAATATATATAATATATACGAATGTATTTCGATATTAGGGATTTCAATGTTTATCAACAAATCTTGATTTTAAGAACAATACAATGGGGCTATGAACCACCGTGAATGGCACGTTTCGGTTTCGGGATGCTAATTGGTAACCAACAAAAAAGAGCATGATGGATATTGTTTACAAATGGGATACAATGCGGGTATAACCGTACCAGTGCTTGATTGGTTCATGGTTTCAACATGTTTCAGCAAATATACGAAATACGTCAAATCTGTTCCTTGTTCAAGCGTGAAAAATTGGATGATCCCAACGAATACCTCAACCATGAAGTCTTGACCAAAATCTGTGAGATCCCCTGATATCCCCTGTGGGTTACTTCAATTCCGAATGTGTATGGACTGAATTGTATGATTGCTCGTTCGACTTGGACTATTGCCTCATTGAATATGCACTTTTCTTCCTCCAATCCACTTTTCCGGTGACTCAATCCAGAGTATTGGTAATTTTATTCTGCAACTATTCTGGTTAATCCACGTGTTTAGTTGGTTGTCTATGCAAGTATATGAACAAGTATGTTGATATGAAATATATATACCAGAAATCTATGCATATGTATAATTATATATACACATAGATACACCCATGTTTCCATCACTAGCCGAACCTCACAACGTGCCCAATGCAGGCAACGAGAAGCGTCTCACAGGCGCAGTGGTTCGAACCGTGGTTTGGGATATGGCCTGAAGCCAAATCATAGCTGGAGCCAAAAGAAATTGTGAAAAAAACATGAAGAAATGTTGGCTTGTTATGACATGAAATACTGAGGACTTTAACATATGTTTGCCATCAAATGTGGTTTTCAACATGTTTCAGCACACTAACCAGTTGGGTAAAAAGTAAGTTCTTTTTGGTTTTGAGCAGGTTTCAAGCAGGTAGTGCGGTCGCAGCTCGTATAAACTCGTGAAAATGGATGCAATTGACAGAAAACAAGAAGATGGACAGCGAACAGTTAGAGCTTGGGAAAGGCATGGTCCGCTGTCAGTGGACCCACTTCATGCGCCCATAGCCTAGAAGAAGTGCATGATCTCATAACCCGTTTAAATAATTTATAGTCTCACATATGTTTTACGTTGCATCCATTTGGGAATTATCAAAAGCAAATCAGATCAAATCAACTCAAATCTGTTTTTTTTGCTTGAGGGAGCGGGCCAATTACTTAGAGTAGATCAGAGTGTCGACCTTAAGGGCCCGAACTCTCGAGTTCTGCCTCGTCTTGTTTCGCCGAGTGAACCATCTGCCTTACTAGCACAGCTAGTTGACGCACCTGGCATCTTGATCCTCCAATCACTTTCACCATCGTTTCAGGGGATTAGTCAAAACCAATGGTAATGCAATGCATGCAATACAAGATACCCTCTGGTAATGACTAACATAGCTATTGAAAATGACCATAGAAATAGTGGATTTTCCCATTCAACATGGTGGTTTTCCATAGTTTTTTTGTATGTTTACCAGAGGGTAATTTTTCATAGGCAGCAAACATTTGCTCTGAACAGCGGAGTTCCCAGCAGACTTGCATCGGTTTTTAGCCCTGGCCATGTGGACCATGTGGATGTGTCTCAGTAAATGTCTCAGTAAATTGGGCTTCCAAAAAAACTCCAGTGGTCAATTATATAAACAATTATCATGGTTTATTATCATGGTTCATGGTTATTATCATGGTTATTATCACCGTAAAATCCGTAAAAAAAATTCGGGCCCTGGGCCCCATGACATCCCCATGACATGCACAGCGTTCAGCGCCAGGGAAACACGAAACCTGCGCCATCACGGATTTCAAGTTTGGCGTGGCCAATCGCGGTGCATCCATCCGGATCCCGCGCGACACTGAGAAGAGTGGCAAAGGCCTTAAAAACCTCGTGGTTTTTGGCCAAAAAAGGATTTTTTTAATTCACAACGGAAATCAACAAAATGCATATAGATGCATGATGGTGTATGAAAATATTCAAGACTATACAAGTAAATAGAAGTATATAATTAAATTGGAAATATGTATGTGTATATATATATATACACATATATGTATTCATTTATGTGCATATTGTAGATCATGAAATATGTACATAAATGACGTTGGACATCCGCATCACCGCGGCTTTGGATAATCGGATAACCCTTTGTTTTTCGGATGCCCAAAAATGCAGCTATCGATGATCAGGTATTACAGGAGGCATGAAGTAAAGCATGTCCATTTGCATACGGGAATCATGCAATGGCTCACCAGAAACCATGGAAAACATTCGAGGTGACTTGAAAGACTGTGTCGGAAGTCGCAACCGGCGCCTTCAGAGCAATTGTAACCAGCAGTATGAACCGTTGGATCGAACCAAGAATATTCAAGAATTATCAATAGATCATGAGATTAGATGTTGTCAACAGATGATTAGATTAGATGTTGTGCAGTAGACTTAGAAAGGTGGTGGCTCCAATTTCTTGAATACATTACTCCTCTTCTCCAACCATTGACCCGGGAGGCTACATGGAAGATCGCCGGTCGGCCGCCAATTGCGACCCTTACAAGGACTGCAATGAAACCTGACATGAAAATTACTGGGTCGGGGGGTTAGATAGACCACCATTTTGTGGGAGTCAAATGGTGAAACTCAACACTCAAAATAGTGGGGAAATATGGCATGGTGAAATAGTTCCTTGGATAAACCCTATTCGCTCCGTAACGCAATCTTCGCCAATCTACATTTGGTGGCGGCCCGATGTAAGCAAATCACACTCGCGCTCATGTTCTGAAAATTTGGTTGGCAACACAGTTTGGGTAACTGGCTCAATCAACCTCACCAGGAGATGATGGTGTGGATTTGTGCTCAATCAAGCGGGTTGCCCTGTCTGACATAGCCAGCAAGTGGCAATCAAAGGGTTCATTTCTCAAACACAAGGATAAATTTAACCATTTATAGAAGAATTTCCCATGAAAAACTCTATTTATAGATTTTATAGGTGTTTTCCCATCCCTTTCCTCATGGGTTTCCCTTTCACTGTTCCGTTTTCACACACCCTCGCAGGTGACTGCGCGAATGATGAAGACCACAGGGGAGTGTTGCTTGGACACGTTGTTGTTGCTGGACGATCCAGGTGACCTGTCCATCATTCCCGGGTCACCTAAATCCCACTGGTCCAGGCTGTGCGCTCTCTCTCTCCGTGCAAAAATGCAAAGCCTCAAATATTGATTTGGGTATGGATCAATACCTATTAATACCATTTTTAGGGGGATGAACATCCATTTACCACCTGTTTTGATGTTCACCAGGGGTACAAGGTTTTGACACACTGCCATATGCCTCCTCTCTATTTAGTCTCTTCACTTTTTAGGAATGGCGTTCGAGACCTATGAACTAACGTGGTGTATATTTATATATATTTATAGCTCAATAGTGCTACCAACTGTACTGCTGGTGCGGACCTCAAATGCTGCTACACGACGAGGCTTCAAGTTGTTTGAGACCCCCATCCAAATATAAAGCGGATATAAAAGATTATAAAGGATATAAAAAATGTTTTTTAACAGTTTTAATGGTTCAATGTCCACTGAAAATCATGCCTCTACTGGGCCCTCTGGGTAGGTACTGACCACCGCAACCCCCGAGGCTTAAGACCCTGACACCCTGACTCTGGGCGATCCTGAAGTCCCTGATGTCGATAGGATGGGATGGGATGGGATGGGATATGTATAGTCGTAGTCGTAGTCATAGTCAATATATATATATATAATGCAGTTATTCAATGTTATATAATATTATATATATACATGTATATATGATTATATTCGTAGTATAGTGTTATCATATTGACATAACATGGGTCAAGGGTCAAGTCTATCAAGTCTATAGGTTGAGGGCATTGACCTCGGCCGGGTTTTTATCGGGCCATCGGATGGATAGTTTCAGCATGTTTCAACAAACTTATTTCGGAGAGCGGTCAAAAACCCATTGATTGGTGGGTTCCTGTAGTTGCTCGTATGATAAAAGTTGACCCAAATGGGAGCTCTGATGTTTTCTCTGAAGTTGGTCAGCTGCGGGTGTTTTTTTTTCCATTTATTTTACTTGTTTGGGCACAGTTGGCATAGTTTAAAAATGGTTTAAAATGTCGTTCCAAACTCTACATATCCTGCTTCTGGAAAATCCATGCTAGTTTTCTAGTTTTCTTTTTTGCAAATGATTGTTTCGCAGTTTATCTAAGATTCGCCACGATTTGGCTGTGTCCTACCCACAACCTGCTCCAAAGTCACGAGGCCGGCTGTGCCCGGGATCTCTTGAGCTGCTGCTCCAAGCGACCTGAAATGACCTGGATCAAATGGGGGGAAACTGATGATCAACCAGTGAATAGAAAGGGGTACCCTCTGGTAAATAAACATAGACCCTGAAAATCACCAATTTTTAATGGAAACTAGTCTTCCAATCCCTATCTGCCAGGGTCGAACTGTTAATTTACCAGAGGGTAGGTTCAGACAAACCCAAATCACAGGAATATGTTGAAGATATGTTTGCCCTCCAAAAATGAACATGAACATGGAAGATCATGGTATAAAATATGAAGATCTATGAATTTATTGCCTCTTCAAAAAAGAAGCTTGAAAAGGGGAGGTGTCAATTTGATGCGCTGAATATATAATCGGGTTTTGGCTTGCTTGTAGATTTTCCAGATCCTATATGTTTGGTCAAACTGGAAACCGAACCGAAACAAGAGACTTCGTTTGTGATTGTTGACCACTTGGGAGGCTTTCTTGGGGATCTTTCATGATGCGATTTTTGTGATGTGTTATGTAAGTTTCCTTTCAACATCTCACTGAATCCTATCTCAACACCAGCACCTCTTCCGAGAGCCAAACGTAACAGTCAGTGATTGGATTTATACCAAAGGGTGTTCACTTATGTTTCTCCAAATGCTTGAACCGAGTGGTAGGATGTGTGTCGTCTGATTGGCAGTGGCAGTTTCAATGATGCTTGAGCTTAGTTTACATGTTATCTTTGGGAAGATAGACACGATTGACGACTTGTTGTGGACGGGCTGAGACCACCAACCAGAAGTCTTACATGGAATGGAGATGGATTTAATATTATTAACCTTTGTGCGTTTGTAATGAAAAAGGCTGAAATATACTTGGAGCAGCAGTTGTTGTATATATTTGATTATAGCCAGGGGCTTGCCAGTGGAGCGTCGCGCACATGCGGAAAGCCGTTGACCGTGCCATCGTTCAGTGATGTGCAAAGATGGGCAGTTGGGATGGGGAACATGATGCTTATCAATCGTAAATATGATAAATATGGATAAATTATCAGCAGTAATATAGCCATTCAACATATGGCGAACAGTCATCTTGAAAGCAGCTGATCGGGATTGATCAGATCATCTAATACGACAAAGAATAAAGAATTGCTGCCCGCCAAGATGCATCTTGAAAACAGAATGACCGGTTTTCAAACGAATATGCTCCCTCCCACAAACTAACATGGAAAAAAACCAGATCCGTTGCGTGTCGATCATGCTTCTGGCGAGTAGATGTTCCATGCCTGTGTTTGTTTGCGGGAGAGTGTGTGCCTGTACTGGTTTGTATCCATATTATATCCATACACGCAATTAGCAGTGCATTTCCAACGCGTTGCCAAAGTGCTGTTCATTTGCAACGATGGGGAAAGCAACCAGGAAATCACGGGGATATGAACGTACTTCAGATATGTTTGCCAGCAAGCCTGTGGCAGTAATAGAGATATTCATGTCGTAAGAAAGAACCCACGGGTTGGAAGGCCATCCTCGCGCATAGGACATTCATGATGGGAAATTTGCCTAGTAGCTCCTGCAACGGGTCAAAGATGTCAAAGCCAAAGGGTAAATGCAATGACTGCCCCTAATGCCTAGTAATCACATGTTTTGCCTCCATCCACTTCTCCCCGGTGTTGAATCATAGCCATGTTGACAATGTTGGGAGTGCCACACATTTTGCAGGCCACCTTGCTCTTCATGATGTTGGGAAATCTGGGTTTCTCGGCTATGAGTTACTGGGTTTCTCTGGACTTGGCTTTCAAGGCCTTGAATCCCCACAAGAGGATTGTCTTTAGATATGGGTGTGTATGAAAATGGGTATACCTCCCAAATAGATCTAAATAGCCTTTTAATAATTAATAGGGAAAATGAAAATTCACCAGTGGGTTTAGGGGTACCAAATTTTCAGAGAGACCCGCAACGGGGTGTTTTTTGAAGGGAAGCAGAAGACTGTTTCGCCCATTCCCAGGATCCCCCTGGTGGGAGGCCCACCAAGCTATCAAGACACTGAGGCATTGCCTTTAGCGATGTGGTTGTGGACGGGTGCGACACGGTTGAGGGTTGAGGGGCGAAGACCTGACCATCATGTCAAGTGCATTGTTTGAGGATCAGAAGATGTTCAAAACCATCTATGTGTATGTATAGCATATATATAATTATATATATATATGTGTATATTTATATATAATTATATATGATTATATGTAATTATATATAATTATATATATATATATTTATTGTTGGTTTGTTTACAGTAACATAGCTGTGGAAAATCACCATGTTTAAGACAAGCCATGTATCAACAGTCACTTTTCCGGTAACTAGACATTCCGACAACGTGGAACTCACAACTTGCCGCCTTGGGGGGGTGGTCATCCTCCACGCCATGGACAGCATCAATATGTGGCCACGTTAAGAGGTACAATTAATGAACCTTGGGATACAATGGGATACCATGCGATACCATGGGATTTTATTCTCAGACCCATTGGTGCTGGAGTTATCTGGAGCTTAGATCTTGCAGGCTATGGGTATGTCTATCGGATAGAGCCGCAGCGCTTGCCAGTGTGCCTCCAAGTAAGGAAGCATGCACGTAGCAAGGTTGGGAGGGTTTTGTTTCAAAAAAGTATCTGACTTTGGGGCCCTAACAAAACCATGGATGGAAGGCTCTAGATCTATTTCTGGAACCCAACTAATGGGTGATTTATGATCGGGAATAGTGTTATTCTGCATATGGTCTTATGATGTTATACCTAGTTATGTACGTATATCGTATCTATACGGGTGTGCCTGCAAAGGGCCATTATGAATAGGGAAAATGATGCCAGGCTGGTGGTGGAGAAGGCTCGAGACAATCCCAACTTGACACTTGGCATCGACAATGGGTAATTGCCTTGAGATATGGCAGTGGGGGGCTGTAGCAGAGCTATCTAGCATACTTTCTGATTTGAGTTTTGTTGTTGCGGACCGCAAGGGAATTGGGCAACAGGTCCTGCATCTATGCACGGCGCGTATGCGAGTATGAGATGCATACATATATTGCACGCGTGCATGAGGCATATGCAATGCATGCAAAGATATGTATGCGCAGGTATGGGCATGTGCTTGCACGCGTCTGTAGTGTGTATATCATGTGCTTTGCAATTTCATGTTACGCCCATCTATTACATTGCAATGTGCGTGCGTGCATTTATCAGTTCTTGTGGGTGTACTGGATAGGCTAGATATACCTGCATGCATGTTTGAGCTATCACTTCCGTCATCTTGTGAGGGCTGTGAAAGACCCTGTATGGCTTAAGCCATATGGAACTAAAGATTCGTATGAAGGATGACTTGTTGGATTTTTGCCATTCACAAGATGACAAAGAGGGCTATCCATGGTTTGGCAACCTAGCTCGATTAAATTTAAATTTGTCGTTGTCACACTACTTCATCATTTAGTCGACTAGATCAAAAGTGAAACGCCCAACAATTGGAAGCGGATTCCCGAAAATCTAACATGGAAGCCCCTGGAAGACAGGCTTACTTCTTAAGATTTCATGATATTGCCATTTTGGATGTCTCTTTTTCGCACCCAGGATGGGTGGCTTGCAGTCTTTCAGCGCACACCTCAGATGCACTGAAAAGATGACCCAAATTCAGAACCAAAGAAATGTACAGCCGTAGGTACCAGTTAATGGTAGATATAACTATAGTTGATGGATGTTAATGAGGTTTATAACCCTGTTGTGGAGCTTTGTTTTTGAAGCCCCTTTTTTCCGCATGTTGTTCCCACGTTATAGTTCAAAGATGTTCAAAGAGTTGACACTTCCAGACGAACCATGGGAACAGCTGGGTTCGGATCCTCGTTTAGTGCAAAGGAAAACTAGAGGGTACTAGGTACTAGGGTTAAGTCCTTGCATCGTGTGTTAAGTCGTAGCGGATGAGCGTCTGCCTTGCGGAAAGGCATATTGGGGAGCATCATAGTATAACATATTGGATAAGCTATGTATGTTGTCTTTGCTCTTGGATGAGTGTGTGCCATGCGGTGCTCTTTTTTTTCGAGGTTCTTTGTCTATCAGCATTGGCCAGGATTCAAACATGAAAGGGTAGTATACACTATGTAAACTGATATATTTCATGGTATCATTTTATCACCATTTGGGTTACTTCTGTATTTGTTTTTTTCGTTTTTGGATGAGCGTATTCCACGCGCTCTTTGCTTAGTTCTGTATTTGTTTTTTTCGTTTTTGGATGAGCGTATTCCACTGCAACTGTTAGCTGAAGCCGAAAATCTTCCAGCTCCAGGATTTGGGTAAGGGTCTGTCCCGGGTAGTTTTTGACCTCGTTTGGTACCTGGTTCGGACCTCGTTCTGACCTCGTTCGTGACCAGCCTTTGTTTGGTCTTTTTTTAGTATGTTTTGTTGATTGCTTTTGCTTGCCCTGTCCGTGAAAAACCAACTGTAATCTGACCATGGTTCCTGCGCTCGCGTTTCCATGGTGTTTGGCATCGCAATTGCCGTTCCTAGACATCTTCAAATCATGTCTGTGACATTGGGTTTTCACTTATGAACTGTACCCAACATATCCATCGTCAACGCGCGTTTCCATTGTAACTTGTACACAAAACATATGTGCAAAACATGCCCTGGACATATACCTTTCACCGTCAGGCCATGCTAAACAGAACAACAAGGATCCTAAAACCCATTGCATTCCGTACGCGTTTCCATGGTGAAACCATAAAAATGCTATGACTTAAACGGAGCTGCTATGACTTAAAACGTTCGCAGCGTTTCCATGCGAAAACAATCCCCCTGCAATGACTTAAAACGAAATGCTATGACTTAACCCTTCCACTTGTACCGTCGTTGCAAAAAGAATGGGGTCCTGTATATATGGTTTTTGCCTCACTGGGAGAACCTGATTTATTTTGACAAAACATGACAAAAGCCTCAAATCTATGGTGGATCATCACTTGCCCATGGAAACTTCAATTTTTTAGTATCCTGGTTTGCACAAACCCATATACATTCAATAGCTGTTGCCTTTTGGCTGGAGCACTGGGTGATGCTTCAAAGGATGGGTTTGTCTTGTTCTACTGGGATCATTTGCTGCTAGTGCCATCTACATGTAGTGCGTTCGGTTTCAAAGCATGGATTCCCCCTGCACAGGCCTGTTGTCATGTTAATGTGGGAAAATGATGGTAAACCACTGGATTACCGCTTTTTGGACAAGCGCAGGATGGAATCCTACGCTCACCCAAAATGTCGCAGAGATTTGAAGTCCTGCTTCGGCGTTTCCAGAGAAGATGTGGAGATGTGATTGATGTATGTAACCCATTCATGTCTTTGCAGGAAGTTCAGGATAGTTCAAAACTGCAGGATTTGCATGCATCCCAATTACGTGCCATGATTGTTTCCCTGACTAAAACAGACGATTCTTGGTGATGATGTAATACGTTGGTTTCTGTCAGCTTGATGTGGGTGTAGATACATCTGTATATATAAATATATTATATTAATATGTATATATATATATATATGTAATTATATATACACAGACATGCATATATCATCATCATATATATCATTATATGTATATACAGGTATATATATATACAGTACGCATGCTACTACCCCAGTTAGCTTTGGATTCTGGTGGCATTTTGGATCGCCGAAGCTCCGTAGGTTGGGCATGCAGAGGTTTTGGTGCCATCTTGTCCGCGTATCTTGGCGGCTACAAGCAAGGAGAACGGACGCACGCAATGGTGGCTGCAGCACGAACAGTAAGAGCCCGTATATAGTGTAGCCCGTATATAGTATAGTATAGATTTACTAGAATAGGCTAGACTAGATTAGAGTGGATAGATCGAACTACATAGCAGGATAATGCAGGATATTTGATGGCAACTATAGTTAGACTGACAATGATCCGAGGTAAATGTTCACGAAGCAGCCCTGTCAAAGAGTGATACAGGACAGAAGAAGGAAAGGTATGAGTTTCGAGAGCGGAAGTTGAGACTGCCCTACTCGCACAGCCAAACTTTGGCATTTGGGTCGTGTTTAACAGATATTTCTTCGAGAGCCAACTGGGTGAAGACCCAATGAAGACCCGGCATTGAAACATGCCATGTTGCACCACGCTCCTCAGAATCCCCTCAATTTTTGCAATGATTTCTCGATCCTGGCGAGCTGGCCGCTGGCCAGATCCCCATGGCTTGCAAGCACACGATATAATTATCATATATATATATATATACAATATTATATATATATAATATATATATATATATATATGGCCATTATATAGCCATTATTGGTAGATAGATGATGATAGATGATGATAGATGTATATAGTGGATTGATTCATTACCTCATCGATGAAAGATGGTGGCTGATTCCAATGTGAAATCCGAGGTATTTCAGTGGAGCCTTGCTGGAAATGATTGGCGCGCGATTCCTCAGACGGGACCATTTCGCTGCAAATGAGAGGTGGACAGAAAAACGACGGGGGATGCCCAAAAATGTGGATACGTTAATAGGGAAAGAGATGACGAACCACTGGGTTCTGTGGTACACTGTTTTCAAACAGACTCAAGGAGAGGTTTGATGATTGGTTTTGGCATCTTTTGTGCGGAATTCGGGCAGTTGTTGAAATGTTCGCCCAGCTCACTTCTGCACATGGGAAGAGAAATTGGCTGATGTTGCAGCGCGATTGAGGTGGAATGCGAAACTTGCTGGTGCTTATATAGTAGGGAATGAGGGAATGGGATGATTGTTAGTAGTTATTGTGGATCATTCTCCCATTCCCTACTAAGCACCAGTAAGGAAATGGTATCTCTTTATGACCTGCATATCATCACATAGCCAGGCAAGACCAACATCACTGGATAATAACTGCTGTGTTGGAAGGTTGCGACCCACGTAGACGCTGAAGGCTTCTGGCTGGGTCAGTGACCACCAGATAAAAGATGGCTTTATGGCTAGCTATCATTAGGAGTCGATTCGGAGAACAAACTTTCGTGTGAGAGAATCATGACGGTCCCATTTCTTTCAGTTTTCTAAGATTCTATAAATCATAAACAAGAGGCAAGGATATGTGTGGTTTATAGTTTTGTGTTTGTATCATTGCTGTCAGCAGGGACCCATCATATCGTAAAACAATACCGTGGTCTTTTTTTTGGATCGCCCAGGTGCAAAATGTCTTCGCCCTCACCGCAATTTTACCCTTCTTTGTCATCATTGCCTCGGTGACCCTGGCGTGGCTGGAGGATGTAGACCCATGAAGATGCAGACCATCAAAGATGGGAATGATATTTTCTGAAACGAAAAGATGGGGAATTAGTCATCAAAGATTGGAAAGATTGGAATTTCCTCAAAGATGGATGTTTTCCGGTTGCAACTAGTAGGCGAGGCGGATTTCTATAACATACAGCCTCCAGAGATGTCAAGAGTTTTTGTTGGTGTTCAGAACATTCTTTCAGTATGGAAGAGAATCCAAACATGTGGCTCATCCCCATTGCGGAACAAAATATGTCGGTGCAGATAAAGTTGCCTATGATTGTCCCAAGTACACCATCTACAGTAAAACTTGTAAAACTCAGGAAGTTACTGTATGTTGCGACATAGGAGAAGATACCATAAAATCAGCCAACTCTGCTTGTTTGGTGGCCTGTTCTCAACTCGACAATTCCATCGGCAGGTACTAATTGAAGAGTCCAAACAAGAAACCGTGAAGTATTCCTGGGATGAGGCGCAGCCATCAGTGCTTGCGCTGTTCTGTCTGGATTTGTCTCAAAATTTTTGGTACCTCAAAATCCAATTATCATCATTTGGTTTTCATTAAAAAATGGACTCTTGGATTTTAGGTACCTTAAATGGCCATCGTTTTCCCATTTAAAAGGACTCTTTTGGGGCAGCCATTTGTTGTCCAATTGTTGTCATTTGAAGTTGGGATGGTCTCCACTTAGTGGATGGCGGCAAACAAACATTGCTCGTTGGAAAACCAACACGTAAGCAGATAGATGGTTTTTTGTACTGGAAATTGGAATCTTTGGTTGTGATATGTTGGTATCTGTTGGTATTGCGGAGGCTATCCACTATAATTAGCCTATGAATCACACATTGGTTAATTCCTTTATAACTTCTTATGTGTTTGGGGTGTCAAATGCACCAAGGTCGCTCCTTTATAAGAGGTGATCCACAGCCAGATCTGCTTAAAAGTCGTGGTAGTAGCCGCTTAGTAGCCATCGGCCATGGGCTTTGCCGCCCAAGTCTCGGGACCGGAAAATGTGATGATTGTATAATGAATATTGATGATTGGTTAATAATGATGGTTAATCATGGGTGAAAAGATGATGTTTCATGATAGTTCTATATAGTTCTTATAATTCAGCTATATTCAGCTTATCATAATCTGCTGAAAATTGCGAGGAAGTGGGCGACCCACCATGTTTTTTTTAGTAAACTATAAGTAAGTATAAGCTTCCTGAAAGAGAATCAAACTCAGGCTTGACTTGCGATCCCTTGTTTGGGATGATCATGGATGATCGTTGAAGCGAGTCACTTTTTGGATGGATTGGTTCACAAGCGAGTCGCTCCCCGATGGGATTGAAAAATACATGTCTACTGCAAAGATCTAAAAAACGTACGTTGATGCCAAGCTTACTTTTCCAATGTTATAGCAAAATCTTCTTGGAAGAGATGGTTCTTTTTGGGCCAACTGTCTTGTTTTGTTCGGATTTCACGGGAAACAACTGCCGAAATGACCCATGTTCAACATATTTCAACAAGCCTCCATGGCTCCATGTCCCAGGCGAAAGAGACGATGGGACAGGTGTGGGAGGCAGGGACCGGCAGCGAAAGGACAGCTCTTGTGACCAGCAATGCGAATGGGAAATAACATGATTTTTTTGCGGAATGGGAATATAACCGGAAAGGGAATGTAGTTTATGATAGTTTTATGATAGTTTATGTGTCTTTATAATTCTTTATACAGTATCGAGCTTTTCCTGACGGGTAGCTTGCTCCAACCAAAGGCGCTCGTATAGTAAATCGTCGCATGCCTGCCTTGTGCTCATAGCACCGTGCATTCCGGACATGCCTTCCCAAGTTGGCACCATGTTGGTGCTGCACCTGGCCTGATCCACTGCCCTGCTGGTAGCTTGCGTGAGGGTCAGCCTTCAGTCGTGTTGATTGCTGCGTGCTCCAGCACAAGCGACACCACCCGCATCTTCTCGGCTTCACACTCAACACTCTCCACTCCACGCTCCACACTTTCCACTGCACACTTGACACTTCACATCCCCAACCCACACTTTACACATCTTTACACTTTACACTACTTTCCACACTTTACACTCCACATTTTACACTCCACACTCCACACTTCAACCTCCACACTCCACGCTTCACACTTTACACTCCCCAATCCCCACTCCACACACTGGACTCCACACTCCACGCTTCACACACCACACCTCAAACACCCAACACGTCACACTCCCCTACACTCTACACAGTGCACTCCACACTCCACACCTTACACTCCACACTCCACAATCCGGACTTCACACTCTCCACCCGCACTCCACAATCTACACTCCCCACTTCACAGTTCACACTTCACACTCCACTCTCCACAATCCACACTCTACACCCCACGCACAATTCACACTCCGCACTCCTCACTTCAGGCCCCACACTCTACACTCCTCACCTGAGACTCCACACTCCTCACTTTATGCTCCAAACTCCAGACTCCACGCTTCACACTCTACGCGCTACATTCCCCATCAACTCCTCTACACTTCACACCCCACAGCCTGCACTCCTCCCCATTCCACACTCCACAGTCTACACTGGTACTGTAACAGGAAAAGAATGTACAAGACTGGTGAAATAATTTGTTTGGCAAAAGTGTTTTATGTGACTGCATTCGGTTTCGTTGGTTGGTCTTGTTTGATCGGTGAATGGAGCTGTTGCCAGCATCTATAAAATGCACTAACCTTTGTCCACAAATGGTGATACCCCAAAATGATCCAAGAATTGTTGCGAGGAAAATGATAATCAGATATTGGGTTTAGGGAAACCATGGGGAACTCAAATTCGGGGCAAAACCATATAGATACATATTGATCATTTATTGATCCATATTGGCTTTGTTCTAGACCAGATTGTTGGCCAGGTAGTCCGCTCCCCTGCTGTCTTCCCGTCGGTGGCCTTTATTCTGGCTTGGCAGGCACGGAATTTTGATGAACCAGGATACAAGGGTTTGGAGCCATACCCACGTGAGTGTTTCTTGAGATTCATGACCCAACCATGTAGAAATTCATTGTAGCATTAAGATGCGTTGAGTGGTAGAGTCCTGGCTTTGGGGATACAGGGGATACATAATGATACATATACGGTTTTCCCGTCTTCGTTTTAAAAATTGCGAGGAACGGCAGAGTTCGTCCAAAAGAAGCACACGACTGAAATGTGCACAAGATGTCAAATGACATATGTACAACCCAGGATGCGAACATGTCAAAGTGTGGATTCGCAATGGTTGTTGTGCGCGCAAAATTATGTTGTAGTTTGAAGTGTGTTTTCCTCAGCAATGCCTCAGGGTGGAAGGCACACAATCTGGAGGAGAATATACATATTCCAAATTCCCATCATGGTTTTAAAAAGATGTTCATTGACTGAATTCCCGTGAGGTTTTTTTAAAATAGCCGGAAATGAACCATGCATCAGTGGATGATTTGGTTCGCTGATTCCTCAGTTTTTATCGCCCAGGCAACTCCCACAGCAGGATCAGCGTGCGTAAACCAAGTGGACAGGGAGAGAGAGATGGATGGTTGGTTGTGCCAGCTTGTGGCTCTAGGATTCCAAAAGTCAGGGAGTAGTTCAGAAGCAGACTACAGAGTAAAGATGCCAATGTTGTAAGTGGATATTACACGTGTTTGCTACCCTTTCAATGGCTTGCGCTTAAACATGCTCGCCCTTGGGGCTACTAAATAGCATAAAAAGCCGCCAGGCAGCACAGCGACTACATTGGGTACCCTCTGGTAATTTAACATAGCTGTTGAAAATGGCTATTTAGTTCGTTGATTTACCTATTAAAAAGGGTGATTTTCCATAGTTATGTAAACGTTTACCAGAGGGTAGCCCAAAAATGGAGTGGCCATGAAATGGCCATCTGTGCTGGTCTAAAGTCCCCAGAAGATCCCAGAAGGTCCCAGAAGATCCCAGTAGTTTAAGGCAAAAGCTACAGGAAAACCTGATCTTTGGTCAACAAAAACTGCCTGTAGATTGACCCAAAATTAAACAATCCATTGCTATGGTGAAATCTGATATATTTTTCGTTGATGGTCTCAGGTTGCGCTGAGGATGGACTTGGAGATTTTGCCATGAACTTCCAGTTCATTCTAGGGACATGGGTAGATAGTTCCACATAAACAATACTGGTTGGTGGGTCAAATATGGTCAAATATGTTGTTGTTCAACCATATTCGGGATGATTGGTTGAGATGACTCATATTTTGGGGGATGGTGTTTGTTCGGCCCATCATTATCATCATTGCAGGCAAGAAAGTTGAATATCTATTGTTGAACACCATTCTGGCTTGATTTCTATAGTGAGCATTGAAAAGATGGCCGGCATGTAGAGCTCATCCATCACCAGCATGACCCGCCTAATAGGATGTTCTATTTAGATGTCCCTGATTTGGATGCTAAGATATTGTGGCTTGGATGTTTAGATCTATCTAAATCTCCTATTTTGATGGCATTGACTCACTTATCCCAAACTTGGATGGCAAAGGCTCAGAAAAATTCCCCAAGGAAACAGCACGTTTATGCTGGTAGCCATGGTTTTTAGCAATGTTTTTAGCCATAGCTGTTCCCAACATTTACAACAAACAAGCCTATCCAGTCGAGGATGTTCTACTTCTACACCAACGAGTTGCATTTTGCGCCCGAATTCCTGGGTCGATCACAGCTGGTTGGCTCGTTGGCCAGTGGCTTGGCATCAAGGGAAGGTGCGTGCTGGGGGTTCCCAGAAAACCATGGAAAAACCACAGAGAAACCACAGATAAACCACAGATGATCAATGTGTATCATCATTTCTTATCATGTTTTTCGTACTCAAGGGATTTAAAGGGCAATTTTATGGGTATAGCTCATTTCCAGACGTTCCCAAATGGGTTTGTCCAAATTGAGGGTACCCGGGTACCATCATCTAAATGCAGTGGTGGATCACCATGCTTTCCCTCTTAAGGTAGCTATAGTTTGGGGGTAACTACCGTAGATGGACGAATTATTCAAACCCTTGTAATCCAATAACCCCCCGCACCCCCCAATTACAATGTTGTTTTTTTGGTTTGGTTCGCTCCTTCGAATGGACGAAATAAATCAAACCCTAAGATGAGGAACAAAGATACGAAACCATAACGTTGAAATTTGGGGGGACAGGGGGTAGCCTACAACTCATGGATGCGGGGTTTGAATAATTTGTCCATCTACTGTAGTCCCAATTCTTTCACATGCCCAAATTGAGCATCATAAATGTGATAGTAGACCTTCTACTTTTGTCTTCCTGTATGTTTGGTTAGTAAATTCTTCACTGTACATCCTGTGCTAAAAATCCCTCCAAGAGTGTCAGCACCCTCTGGGGGTGACGACTGGGCCGAGCTGGGATGACACGTGTCTGGATAGGTCTGGCGGGTATCGTGCTCTACAATCGTCGGAGACTCATCGGGTCCTTCAGGTCATGTCAGGTGCAGAATTCTTTCTTTCAAGTGGAGAAGAGAAAGACAAGTCAGAAGATTTTGCTAAAATTTGAAGGCCGGAAGTTTGATGCTTGATTTGTGGCGACCTGGATCGCAATTGATGTTAATACTTATTGATACTCATGGATACTTATGGTACATTGCCTTGAAAGGAATTCTGACTTCAGTACTTCATTACTGATTGGATGACACCTCAGCCACTGTAAAAGGTAATGACTTGACATATAAATTGGTCGCTAACTACAAAATGTGTCAAATCGTCTCATCCATCTATATTGTGACATCTTGTAGTATATCGTATATCGTGTATTGTGATATATTATGAAATATATAAAGTGACATCTTGATATATTGTCACATGTCATCATAATTCCAAGAATGATGTGGCAGTGTGTCAAAACCTTGTACCCCTGGTGAACATCAAAATAGCTGGTAAATGGATGTTCATCCCCTTAAAAATGGTATTAATAGGTATTGATCCATACCCATGTATGATATGTTGGGATCTGAATTTCTTCTGCCAGGTGTTTTTGCCACGGTTCCACTGAAGGACTATCTCTTCCGCGACTTGGATGGTGGGCATTTCTGGATGGTAGCTGCAAGGGTGTCATTGCCATGGCGCCCTTGGAAATTCCCGAAGCAAATGGATGTTTTTATGGGAAAAGTATGGGAAAATTGGGGAAAACCCGCTACTGTGATTGATTCCCAGAGGATAACTATTAACTATTCCAAAATAATCGAATTTGTTTTATTAAGGTCGGTGAATTATGACGAGAATTCATCCAAATATGTCCAAAACCGCCTGGTGGTTTCAAGTTTGATGCCTGTTCTTTTCCATCCTACAGAGGATGATGAAATCCACGATTGACTCTTATATCTGTCAAATTGAAACCACAAGCAACAGGGAAAAGAAAAGTGAAGGCGAAAAAGAAGTGACATCCCAAGGTAATCCATCTTGGTCATTTCAGGGTTCACCAGCGAAATTTTCGACCCATCTCCACGAGCTGATGGTATGGATCAACATTTACCAAAGTTTGACCAAGGGCCCTGTCATGACGTGACTCGCTTCAGTCGTAGTCCCCCTCGCTAGGACCATGAGGATCAACTGGCATTTGAAACGGAGAGTTTTTTCTCAGACCGTCACCATAGCTGGTTGGTGCTTTGGAACATTTTATATTTTTCCATATACTGGGAATAATAATCCCATTTGACTTTCATATTTTTCAGAGGGGTAGGTCAACCACCAACCAGTTAGCTATTCAGCCAAGAAAGTGGCATCAAACATAGTGACAATGGTCAATCGTGGTCGGCCTTTCTGTTTTGATCATTATTGATCACGGTCTTGCCGTGTAGCCGGTCTCCTTGGGGACCGGCTGCAGCAACACAGGGAACAAATCCTCCTTGGTTGAAGGGAACAATGTTGAAATCCCCAAGGAAAACCATTCTGAAGCAGAAGCTGTTAACTGCTTGGTGCTGAGGTGTGCAAGGTATTGCTGTGCTGTTGGGATTTCTTCCTTTGTTGCTGGTGACACGTCCAGAGACTCAGCGTTGACCTGCGAAAGCAGTGGCAGTTTCATACCTTAATCTGTTGCCCAAGATCTAGATTTATGTTCTAACAAGGGTTTTTAAATGGCATCTATCGGTCTATCGGTATCAAAGATGGGCAATTGCACACCTGGATTGAAAGGGATTGAAGGGAAGACCACTGTCCTCCGAAAATCTCCCTTCAACTGAGCAGTGGCGCCCGAGGTACAAATCTCGCTTTGAACATTCCTGATCAAGCTTTTGTCTTGGGCACCTCGCCAAAGTTCGCACTTCCTGGGCGATACGGCGATACGGGAAGATCAAGCAACACAAAAGATGGCTGTGAAGCAGTTCTGTGTCAACTCCGATGCAAAGTTGGGGAGACCCATGATATAGACACTGTCTTTAAACATTGTGTGCAGACTTTGGGTGTGAGACATGCTGACTCGGGGCTAAAGGAATGCCCTGGTTGTGATCTTGAATTGTTAGGCACCGATTCAACCTCCAACAATATGAGTTGAGTTTCAAGATATATATATATATAATTATACAGATATAGAGAGATATATATATATTCTTTGAGAGGTCTCAAGGTTCAATCCCTTCCTGTTGAATCTCTGAGATGTTCACCGTGCCAATACAGGTGTTTGCTAGAAACATCATCCCGTTTGTAGATGTTGGACCACGAATTATCCAAAAAAATATGTTATCAGAAGGGAAATCATATAACTTGGGTTTTCTCCGTGTTGGGGCTACCGCACTTAGGGATATAGTAAGCACCCACAGGAGAAAATTAATGATGTACGCCATGCTTGGCCTGGCCAGTTGACCATCCCTAAATGAAGCGTCCATGCGTTTGGACGAATAACATCATTTGGCAGGATATGTCAAGAAGATTTAGTGCTTCACCATGGTTCACCTGATTTCATGGGAGCTTGAAATATGTTGAAAGCAGATGTTTTTCTATAGTTTGTTGTTGCAAAAAAAATCGCAATGTGTTTTGAAAAATCCCATGTTTTCCCCGATCAACTGGTGGATGTGGGGCTTCCACCGTGAGTCCGCCGGATGTCTAAGGTGATGATGTGATCCAAACAGTGGCAGGGGTCGTCGACTCAGTGTCTGGAGGATGGGAACAATACGTATAACAATGATATGACATGGGTAAAAGTCCCAAAATCATGGGGTAAAACAATGCCATATTTAGAGCTAAAAAATTGGTAAAAGTCCCAAAATCATGGGGTAAAACAATGCCATATTTAGAGCTAAAAAATTGGTAAAAGTCCCAAAATCATGGGGTAAAACAATGCCATATTTAGAGCTAAAAAATTGGTAAAAGTCCCAAAATCATGGGGTAAAACAATGCCATATTTAGAGCTAAAAAATTGGTAAAAGTCCCAAAATCATGAGGTAAAACAATGCCATATTTAGAGCTAAAAAATTGGTAAAAGTCCCAAAATCATGGGGTAAAACAATGCCATAAACCATTCGCCAAATCACCACATTTGTTAGAAACCATTCCCAGTCAACCGGGTGGTTTATTTATGGCATTCTTTTACCCACATCTTTGAAAAAGTGTTGGGAAGCACCAGATCACCCTTATCGGGGGATGAAGGAATTGGCGCACATGCCCATCCTGGTGCTTGCAGCTCAGCTCTGCCCTCCTGGTATTGAGGCGAGGGATCAAGAATGACCTGACATACCTGGGCCAAATGTGAATGTTGAAAAAACTATTTAAAAAACATCAGTTTTCTATCAAAAAAACTACGATTGATCATGTTTTGTCCAGATTCATATTGGTATTCAGATGTGTTTTGAGTGGCGTTGTTCCCCAGACAGTGTGGCCACACTTGTGGTTCTTACGGTAGCTGTTAAGGCCAGGTGTTCATTCGAGGTGTTCTCATAGGTGCGCGGCATTTTTGATGACCCTTACAGCACAAACGTGCCCTCGTGAGATGTCCATGTGCATTTCGACTGTGCAGGCGATGTCCGCTCACACAAACTGGGTGTCACAGAGACCTCTCACGCAACCCTCTCGTCACTTTGGGTCAGATCGCTCTCGTTGTGGTGCGGTGCGAATTTTGACAGTCAAGGAGATCTTGTGCAGAGATCTTGACAAGGAGGTCTTTTATAGAGAGCTTGCGCAGACATCTTGCCAGGGTACCTCTTATGGAGATCTTGTGCAGAGAGTTTTTTTTGAGATCTTGTAGGGAGATCTTGCCAAGAGGTCTCTTACAGAGATCTTGCCAACAGAACTCTTGTACAAACTTCCACAGAGATCTCTTCAAGGGATCTTGCCAAGAGACCTCTTCTAGGGAGCTTGTACAGAGATCTTGCCAAGAGGTCTCGTACCGGAATCTTGCCAAGAGAGCTCTTTTAGAGAGCCTGTGCAGATATCTCTGAAACAGATCTTGCCAAGAGACCTGCTATAAATTGGGAACTCGTACAGAGAGCTTGCCAAGAGACCTCTTGTAGAGATCTTGTACAGAGGCATTGCATGAAGATCTGTTGAGATCTTGCCAAGAGGTCCCTTACAGAGATCTTGCCAAGAAAGCTCGTATAGACAGCTTCTACAAAATTACAAAGACCTCATAAAGAGATATCGCCCAGAGACCTCTTATAGAGATCTTGTACAGAAATCTTGCCAGGACACCGCTTCAAGAGATCTTGCACAAAGACATTGCATAGAGATAAGAGGTTTCATACATAGATCTTGCCAAGAGAGCTCTTATAGAGAGCTTCTACGGAGATCTCATAACGAGATCTTGCCAAGAGACCTCTTATAGGGAGCTTGGACAGAGTTCTTGCCAAGAGACCTCTTATAGAGATCTGTACAGAGATCTTGCCAGAAGACCTCTTTTACACAGACCTGGTGAAGAGAAAAGAGATCTTGCTTAGAGATCTTTTCTAGAGAGCTTGAACAGAGATCTTACTTTGAGATCTCTTGCAGGGATCTTCTGTGGAGATCTCCTATAGGCACTTTCTACAGATAGCCTTGCAAAGGGATCTTTCACAGCAGCTTCTACAGAGCACCTGTCACGAAAATCTTGACCATAATCTTCTACAGACATCTTCAAAAAGGGAACTCGCAGACTTGACTCTGGTATCTCTTCTTGACCACCTGTGGAATGAACACCATATTTTCACTACTAGGGTCGCTCTTGTCCTGCTAGCTTGGAGCCACTGATGATTTGGGGTCCTTTCCCTTTATATAGGTACAATAAATGTCATACATACATACATACATACATGCATACATACATACATACATGCATACATGCATACATGCATACATGCATACATGCATACATGCATACATGCATACATACATACATGCATACATACATACATGCATACATACATACATACATGCACACATACATACATACATGCATACATACATGCATACATACATGCATACATACATACATGCATACATACACACATACATGCATATATACATACATGCATACATACATGCATACATACAGACATACATACATACATGCATACATGCATACATACATGCATACATACATGCATACATACATACATGCATACATGCATACATACATACATGCATACATACATACATACATGCACACATACATACATACATACATGCATACATGCATACATACATACATACATGCATACATACATACATGCATACATACATACATACATGCACACATACATACATACATGCATGCATGCATACATACATACATGCATACATACATACATGCATACATGCATGCATACATACATGCATGCATGCATGCATGCATACATACATACAGACAGACACACACACAGACAGACACAGACAGACAGACACACAGACAGACACACAGACAGACACACAGACAGACACACAGACAGACACACAGACACACAGACAGACAGACAGACATACATACATACATACCTTACATACCTTGCATACCTTGCATACCTTGCATACTTTACATACCATACATACCTTACATGCCTTACATACATTACATACATTACATACATTACATACATTACATACATTACATACATTGCATACATTACATACGTTACATACGTTACATAAATTACATACATTACATTGCATTTCATTACATTACATACATTACATTACATTACATTACATTACATTACATTACATTTACTTACATAACGTTACATTACATTACATACATTACATTACATTACATTACTTACATTACATTTCATTTCATTTCATTTCATTACATTACATTACATTTACTTACATAACGTTACATTACATTACATTACATTTACTTACATAACGTTACATTACCTTACCTTACCTTACATTACATTACATTACTTACATTACATTACATTACGTTACATTACATTACATTACGTTACGTTACTTACATTACATCATTACATTACATTTCATTACATTACATTACATTACATTACATTACATTTACTTGCATAACGTTACATTACATTACATTACATTTACTTACATAACGTTACATTACATTCCCTTACCTTACATTACATTACATTACTTACATTACATTACATTAGGTTACGTTACATTTCATTACATTACATTACATGACATTACTTACATTACATTACATTACGTTACGTTACATTTCATTACATTACATTACATTACTTACATTACATCATTACATTACATTACATTTCATTACATTACATTACATTACATTTACTTACATAACGTTACATTACATCACATTACATTTACTTACATAACGTTACATTACATTACATTTACTTACATAACGTTACATTACATTACCTTACATTACATTACATTTACTTACATAATGTTACATTACATTACATTACTTTACGTTACATTTCATTACATTACATTACATTACTTACATTACATTACATTACGTTACGTTACATTTCATTACATTACATTACATTACTTGCATTACATTACATTACGTTACGTTACGTTACGTTACATTTCATTACATTACATTACATTACTTACATTACGTCATTACATTACATTACATTTCATTTCATTTCATTACATTACATTACATTACCTTACCTTACATTACATTACATTACATTTACTTACATTACTTACATTACATTACATTACATTTCATTTCATTACGTTACATTACATTACATTTACTTACATAACGTTACATGACATTACATTACATTACATTACGTTACGTTACATTTCATTACATTACATTACTTTACATTACTTACATTACATTACATTTCATTTCATTACATTACATTACATTTACTTACATAACGTTACATTACATTACATTACATTTACTTACATAACGTTACATTACATTACATTACATTACATTTACTTACATAACGTTACATTACATTACATTACGTTACGTTACATTTCATTACATTACATTACATTACTTACATTACATTACATTACATTTCATTTCATTACATTACATTACATTACATTTACTTACATAACGTTACATTACATTACATTACATTTACTTACATAACGTTACATTACATTACATTACATTTACTTACATAACGTTACATTACATTACATTACATTTACTTACATAACGTTACATTACATTACCTTACCTTACATTACATTACATTTACTTACATAA